AGTGAGAACATGAGAGACGTGAGATTGTGCAGTTATTTATTAGTATAAATAAATGTCTTAAACTGCTTTTTGCCTTGCGTCTCCTTTTATGTTATTGAACCCTTACAAAACGAGCATTCTTAACAACAGGGTTCGTAACAGTGGCTAATAACTTTAGTTAGCTTCGCTGGTGTTCCTGTAGTGTCTCTATCTTCCTCCCATTCTAAATAGCTCTTTTTGTGTTTTGTGTATGACTGTTTATATTGCTAATATGAGATTCTGTGTGTGATTAAGTGGGTGGGTGTTTGTTTAGATGTGTGGGTTTTTTGTGTATCAGATGGTGTTTGCTGTAAAAGCTAGAGTGTCCTCCTGCTGTTTCTTCTGATTGCTGATATCTGTCAGAATGTCACTTACGCAACAGATGTACTATAGATGTTACTATGGGATCATGTAGACTAATGTAGACTTGTCAATTACAATGAGCCATTGCCAAATAATAGAAAGCATGCAAACTGATATATACATTTTTATTAAAACATATTAAGTAAATTCACTGTGTGAGGGGCCAAGCTTCAGCTACTGTGTAAAAGAAAAAATCGACCCGCTAAAATTGAAAACTTGCGTTTAATTGCTGCCTAATTTTTTAAGGACAAAGATTTGGTTATAAAAATAGTAAATGTAATATAATATCAAATTAAAGGGATAGTTCACTTTGAAATTAATTTTTGATATGTTTTAGCTTACCTCAAGGGCATCCAAGATGTAGGTGTCTTTGTTTCCACAGCATTTTCAATTTTGACATTTTTTGGTCAAACCGTTGTTGTCTGTAAGCCCTTTAATGCAGTTTTAGGGGGTCCACCTCAAAGAGCATGCACAGAGAAGTCCAAATTAAACATGATTTAATGACTTGTGAATGTAAGTACACACTGATGGCCTAAGACACGAAACGAGCGGTTTGTGTGAGAAAACGAACAGTGTTTATATAGTTTTTACCTCGTGTTAAAAGCCGTCGAACTGATCTGAATCAGATGTCCAACTGAACCGAAATGAACCGTCCCCAGATGTTATGAGTGAAGTGATCTCTCGCAGGTCTACATCACGCATTGTTTACACAGAGATTTCGGAAGTTTTACCTTTCACTAAATATATATAGATATATCGAAGTCGATATATCGATCTTCCATTGCGATTTCCCATATATCTAAATATGTTTAGTACAAGTACAGGCCATCAGTGTGTACTTACGTTCATGAGTCATTAAATTATGTTTAATTTTGACTTCTCTGTGCATGCTCTTTGAGGTGGACCCCATATACCTGCATAATAGGACTGACAGACAAGAACGGTTTGACCAAAAATTGTCAAAATTGAAAATGCTGTGGAAACAAAGACACCTACATCTTGGATGCCCTTGAGGTAAGCTAAACATATCAAAAATTAATTTCAAAGTGAACTATCCCTTTAGTGTGTGTATGTGTATATATACATTACCATTGAAAACTTTGTGGTCAGAAAGATTTTTTTAAAGAAAATAATATTTTTATTCATCAAGGATGCATTAAATTAATCAACATTCAAAATATTTATATGTCAAATAAATGCTGTTCTTTTGAACTTTTAAATTCATCAAAAAATCCTGAAAAGAAAATTTGATCACGGTTTCTGAAAAAAATATTTAGCACCACAACTGTTTATCATTAAGGGGATACGTAAAGATGGCTGGCACTATGTGTACATTCTGTGAGTGAGATCTCACCCTCTATGGGTGGGTTGAGAACATGCGGGACAGCCCCTACAACTGCCTTTAGTCTTTAGCCTCTGGCCAAAAAATCCTCTGATGATGCAAAATGACGATTTTTGCGTCATCAGAGGATTTTTTTCCAGAGAAAAAATACATAAATCTCTTGTCTCAGGGGGATATGAGGGTGGAAAGCATAGTAATTTGAAAATACTACAGGTTTCCTACTAATACAAAGCTTAATGCTAAATCCTGAAGTATCCCTTTAATAATAAAAAGAAATGTCTCTCAACATTAAATCAGCATAGATCATGTGAAGCTGAAGACTGGAGTAATTGCTGCTGAAAATTCAGATTTTCCATCACAGGAATGAATTGCATTTTAAAATAAAATAGTAGCTTTAAATAATAGTTCACAATATTTCCCTTGGTGCGCATAAGATACTTATTTCAAAAACATTAAAAAAAAATCATACTGACCCCAGACTTTGAGAGTGTGTGTATGTGTGTCACATTCAGTCCATTCTCATAGTATTTGCTTTGTTAACTTGTTTACCAGGTACTAAAAATATATTCACATTGTCAAGCTTGAAGAAGGCTGTGTCATGATCATGGGTGCTGTGCCAATTTCATGCTAATGACGATTTGCTGCCAAGTCAATGACAAGATCAACCAGCATGTCCTTTTCAATACACCTCAAAGACAAGTCAATCCATCAAAATTATCTTTGAGGTGAACATTCATTTTTCAGGATGAAAATGACCCAAAACACATCTCAAAGTTGTTCAAGAACTATCAAATAAGTTAGGTGAATAGAACTCTGTATACCAAGCATCAACTCAACACCATAAAACACTACAGAATGTGTTAGTGGCCCACTTAATATAGCCGCTTTTCCACCGTCGGGTTGAACAGTTATATTTCCACTAGAGCTTGGTTTATTGTTCTCGGCCTGGTATTCTCGGCATGGTTGTTTAACCATGCCATGCTGTGCTGGTAGAATGCATGTAGTGACTTCGTCATTCCCGGTTGGTCACTTGTCTGTTGCCTGGCTGCCAGTTTCTCTTTAGCCTGGTTACTATTTACATCTCATAGTATCTGTAAACTCTTGCTTTACCAAGGTAACGACCAACGCATTTGTATTACATTTCAAAGAGCTCTGTTATCAGCCCCACAGTGGAAAATGAAACCATATCTGTACTGGCTGGGCCAGATCGGCACAGAATGGAAAGGTTAAGTAATGAGACCGGTTTGTCCCGATGGTGAAAAAGCGGCTAATGTGTGAGCAAGTGCTCTGGGAATTGCTACAGGATCAGAAAGGCCATACAGACCATTTCCAGCTCAAATATGTTAACCGAATGCTTGAACCAAAAAAACTTGTTTGTTTTGTATGTGTGAAAACGGATGGATGAGTTAAAGAATATGTCAATCACATGTGAAAAAATTCTGCAGGCTGATTGTGGATAATGATCGCTAAAGAGTGGCTTTTCAAGAAGAGGAAAAGAAATTTTAGTCACAACAAATATTAGATTCTAAAGTGATTGTTTTCAGTAAGATATGATGGCGCACACTCACACTATTACTGCACTGTCATGTTGACGGATACGTTTTTGCTATGATGTCACCTGAAGACTTGAAAATGACTTCTTACGCCTCAGTGACTCAGTATTCCATCCACAGTTTTGATTGGGGTGGGAGGGGGGACTTGCCTGTCAATCATCCCTTCTAAATAACAGAGCAGAGACGATCTACAATATCTAGACTGCAGAGTATCTGACAAATCAATTCAAGGAGTCAATATAACTGTGACCACATCAGAGCAAATTGCATTAGTCATCGCGTTGGAAAACCGCAAAATATCACTCATGGATTTCTTTACAGAGCAGCAGGATAAATTCTTGTTTTTGATATATTACAGTGCAGAAGGGAATCTGAAAACTCTAGAACAAGATTCTACAAGACATTTTCACCTGGCTATACCTAATGTTTAGATATGTTGTGTTATTTATGCAAATTAGTACATACATAATTAGATTATGCACGTTTGCCCATGTTAACAAATAATTTAAAAAAACATATGATACATTTTTGTTTGTCTTGATGTAAGTAATCAACTCAGTAATTTTCATGATGATATCTAAAGGTTCAAATCTTTACCCTATTCACGTGAGAAAAAGAATGAATAGGCGAATGAATAGTCTATATTTGGGTCTTTTTCGAAACTTTCTCCTAATATGGTTCTTCTGGGCTTTTCGAGGATACAAAATCAGTTGAGTCTGCTTCTGTTGCAATTTGTTCTAGGTTGACCCCCATTTTGGCTTAAATGACTGGACTAAAAGAGGGTAGCCTGTGTGCGTGACATCACCGTCGGCTGGAGTGACTGCCGTTACTCCAGGCAGCGAAAAGTTGGATTTGCCGTTATCATATTGTGTCAATACACTAAATTTAGGGGTAAAATCATACTCTGTATATTGTATTGTTATATATTGTATTGACAACTCATCAGTTCAATATTTGCCATCGTGTATTCTGCATGATTCGATTCGTGGTTGCATGTCAGTATTCATGGCTCACTGGATCTTTGGTAAGTTGTAAGGAACACTATATCAAGTCACACAGCAGGCTCTTTTGCCGCCCAGTCCGGCGTGTTTAAAATGTTTTCAATGCATACCCTCTAATATACTGGGGTGTTAGGACCCACACAGACCACAGGGTGAGACCCCTTGCTGGCCTCACTAATACAGTACCTCTTCCAGCAGCAACATTTTTTTCCCCGGAGGTCTCTCATCCAGGTACTGACCAGGCTCAGCCCTGCTTAGCTTCAGTGGCCAACCACTCTTGGGCTACAGGGTGATATTGCTGCTGATTCAATGTTACTATGATGGGATGGTCGAGATGTTGAAATGTTTTGATAGCTCACTGCAAACTGCTTACTTTGTCTCTACAAAATAAGCTGGGATACAAGAACACACTTTAGCCTTGTGTCTTTAGGAGCAAAACCATCCCTAAATATAACTTCACACTTCATAACTTTGGAAAATGAGATGATTTAAAAAACTAATTCTGTAACTGTTGGGATGCTGTTATGTGGCCCTTGAGCCAGTTTAAACCACATACTCAATACAACACAGAATGAATCTCTAATTAGTGCTGTACACTGTATCACTGATGTTTTATCGAGTGGTAAACATCTGGAACCCTTGTGCAAGAATGATGACAATTTAACAAAACCTTTTTCTATTCAGATTTGCATTTATTTTTACTTTCTTCTCTCTCTCCCTCAGGCGGATACAACAACCAGTTTTCTCCGTGCTGCACGCTCAGGTAATCTGGAAAAGGCTCTGGACCATATCAAAAATGGAATAGACATCAACATAGCCAATCAGGTGAGAGAAAAAAACATCCTGCAATGTCAAGCATCAAGCGTGTGTGTGAATGTATGTGTAAGTATTACCCTTAGGGTTTAATGTTTAAAATAATTGGTAACACTGAACATTATTTAATAAAAATGTACATATAAGTTTACAGTGCAGTAACTGTTAACAAACAGATACAATAAATGCAGTAGAAGTATTGCTTTGTTCATTCATAATGTTAAAGTCCCCCTGCAGTCAATAATTGTATCATTTAATCTCATCTTTGATAATCACAATGACATATTAAAATGTTTTTTCCTGTGAAAATTATTTCTTCGTGCCTTAAAATAGTTAAACTGTAACTACACCCTTGCTTCATTTAGAATACGTAGGTCCATGAATATGTAAATTAGTACCCTCCTCAACTCACTCACACCAGTTTCCCAATTCACTTGTTCAACTGTAGTAAACACTACACAATGGCAAGTGGAAACCAGCCATATATGTTTGAACCTTAAGCTGATTCAGAAAAAGAGTAAATTATCAGGCCCAATTCTAGTACGGTGTGCTTGAGGATGCTAAACACCCTCAAATGACAGCAAGAGCACCTTCAGTTGATACTGTAAGAGTTTCATATTAACGAAACAGATTTGGTAAACACTCCAGTCTATATTTGTGTTCTGGAGAGCGTTCTTTGTGTTTTGGTGAAACATTTTTACACTTAAAAATATTGATTAAATTTGAATCAATTACATATACCATATGAACTGAGTAAATGCAATAAAAAATAATTAAATAGATTAATTGTAATTGTATATGGTACATTAACAAAATTGAGTAGAAATATTTAAGGAAAACAAAACAAAACATTTATGAGTAATATCAATTATTTTTATTTTTGAGTAATATTAACTTTTAATTCCCTGTAAACCTTTGTAAAATACTCCACACAACCGCATACTGTTATACATGACATTGGCCTTTAATTGCCAATGAGTACAGCAATACAGTATATTTTATACTGTTTTAACATTTATACACCATTAAACTCATAAAACAAAAATAAGTAGATACGTAAAAACTAAAAATTTAAAAAGTAATTCAAGTGTAATCAACCGGTCTGGTATCCAATTTCCACCGTATCAGTGCTGGTTCTCGTGCTTGAGATCGACTTGGACTTCAAACACACACACACACCTAAATTTCACAGAGCCAATTTCACAAATCGAATTTTACAAATACTAAATTGTTTTAGTCAAAAAAACTTAAATATAACTGTAAATTTTAGACAAAATGAATTACTGTATTTTTAGTCAATTATTTTGGTATGTTAAACTCAAACAATCAAGTAAATGAAATTCGGAGTTTTTATTAAGTTAATAAAGTTAATTATTACTGTGATATTTACTAAGCCAATATATTATTTTTTCACTGAGTGTTCACTGACATGTTTGTTTAAATTAGTCAGAATCCATTAGTCAAAATGCCAGAGTTTTTGTTCACACTGAGTTCAGCATGCTCACGAATCCTGTCATTAACAAAGTTTAGACACATTGTTAGTAAGATATTCATTGTGCAGTATAGACAACTTTATTGATTAAAATGGAACTTTTAGTGAGATTGCAAACTAAGATTAGTGACAGCTTTTTAGTGACTGTAAAGGGTGTGCTCTTTGCATGCCTTTTATGCTATATGTAATACATTCAGAATTTGAATAAAAGTTGACACAGAAAGGTAATTGATATGATTAGCCTTTGGTTTGACTACGTTATCTATCATCTAATAATGTGTTGCTAATGTTAAACAAATCATGTTCCCTTTCACCATCTCAGAGTCAGACAGCTGCCATCTAAAAATCTGCATTCTTAGAAATAATGATAGGAAAAGCCCCGCCCGCACATTGACGGGATTGGTTACAAGTTTGTGACATAGAAATAAGGTTAAGCGCGGTTTCAGTGTTTTGAGACTTTCTTTGGTTCACTGCTGTTTAAAGAAGAAAATATTCAGCAATGGTGTTGAAATATAAATTTCCACACGATTTGTCTTAAAGTGTATTAAAAACACCATATCGACAGATAAAGACAACAACATAAACCTTTCAAAAGACTTTTTAAAAGAATGCCACCACAGGGTGTCTTTAACAAATGAGACCTTATTGTAAAGTGTTACCAAATTACTATTATTACAGATATGAATGGTGTATTAAAGCACAAATCATGAAATTTGTTAAGAAAATATCACAATTTTCAATTCTGTGATCTATAAAACACCTAAAAGAATCATTAATATATTTTGGAGTCAAAACCACCTAACAACCACACAAAACACCCTAGCAACTCCATAGCAACATGCTTGAAATATATAAGAACCGTTTAGCAACTGCATGAGTCATGACAACACCAGTCTCACATCCACGCCTTGAAAGCCCAAAGTAACTTTGAAGCCCATTTATAGTACTGGCTAAATTCAGAAATTGCTATTTAGAGCTATAAATTCATCATATTGTAGATTAGGATCCACATCTCTCTGTGTGTGTATGTTTGTTTGCTTTTGCCAGTTTGTGTTTTCGAGTCTGTATTAACCCCCCAATGCTCCTGTGGTCGGACAGTACAGCTGTGTTTACAGTGTTCAATCCCTAATCAGTAAATTGCCATAATTAATCAAGCCAGCATGTCTTCCTCCTCTAACCCCCTCACCGGTCATGCTTTTGCAAGCAGTTGCATCATAACACTTGCTTACCTGCTTTAAATAGCATATTGTGATATTTGCAGGAGAGCTATGTTTGGTTCTCAGAGACGGGTTAGTGAATGGACTTGAGCAGTTGGCTGGCTTCCTGCATTGAAAAGCTCTGAAAATGAACGCCCACTCTGTATGCCTGCATCCTGAATTCTCTCTCTCTTTCTCTCTCGCTCTCGCACACACACACACACGTTGACTACTACACCACCTCATAACATCATTCACCAACAGGATTCCATCTGGCCTACGATATGCAACCTAGACTAAATTTCAATGCGTCTTGGAGGTTTTTATAGTTACGTCTTTGGGTAAACTGAAGTAACGGTATACTTCCCGTTTGTGATGTTGATATCAGAGCGTGAATGTCATTGTGCTGTCGCAACACATTCTGTGAGGTGCTTAGACTGGTTTTGACAGTGAGGCGGCAAATGCTTTGGGACGTGAGAAAATTCTGAAAAACAGAAAAAACGCATTTTTAAAGCTCAGAGCGTGTGATTATTTTCCACCTCAGCTTAAAGCAATTATTGTTAATGACATTTTTAGACAATTTATGGTCTTTTCATTGTTTGTCTTTTTTTTATAGGTGATGAACTAACAGCTGTAAATAGCCTTAATGTTATTAGCCATTTTATCTAAAACATCTAATGATTTTATAGCCAAAAAATAATCTAAGAATCAGAAAAAATTACAAATTGTTTTGTTTTCTCATGTTTTTACAACCCCGTAAGACTTTCGTTCATCTTCGGAACATGAATTAAGATATTTTTGATGAAATCTGAGAGCTGGATCACTCCTAAATACTAGTCCATAGGCTTCTTAAGGGATTGAAACTTGCCGGCCTCGAAAAGTTATTAAAGACATCGTTAAAATAGTCCAAGTGGCTTCAGTGGCTCAATCTTAACTTTATCAAGCGACGAGAACACTTTTTGTGCGCAAAAACAACAAAAATAACGACTTTATTTCAACTATTCATGTCCTTCTCTCTGGGCCTAGAGTCAGGTTACTAGTTTAACAGCGTATGATCTGTTGTTGTACGTCACACGCATCACACACACGACACACAGCGTCGGCCAATAGTGAGCCTACGTGTGATGTAGCTATACGCAATTACACTAGTTTAACTGACTAGAGGCCCACAGAGAAGGAAGTGAATCGTTGAAATAAAGTCATTATTTTTGTTTGTTTTTGCGCAAAAAAAAGTATTCTCGTCACTTGATAAAGTTAAGATTGAGCCATGATGTCTTTAATAACTTTTTGAGGCCGGCAAGTTTCAATTCCTCAAGAAGCCTATGGACTAGTATGCAGGAGTGATCCAGCTCTCTGATTTCATCAAAAATATCTTAATTCGTGTTCTGAAGATGAACAAAGATCTTATGGGGTTGGAACAACATAAGGGGGAGGAAATACTGACAGAAATGTAATTTTTGTGTGAACTATCCCTTTAAAATAGCATCTGAATGTATGCGCAACGTGCCACTGACTTTAGACTAGGTTTTTTCTGGTCAGTGGCACAATTGTTTTCTGGATCTGCAAAATAGCAGCAGGGATTGTTTGCGCCGAAACACGCCTCCTTTTTTGCGCTGAACTACCCAGGTAGCGCAAGTTCATTCCCTAGTTTGCCGGCGTGCAAAATACGAATCATACATGTGTCGGTGTACAAAGTCAATTGCGCTGGGTGCAAGATAGGGCCCCATATATTTGACCAAAAATACGGTAAAAACAGAAATATTGTATTACTATAATTTAAAAAAGAACTTTTCTATTTGAATACATTTTAGATGACTGAAAGATTCAGTTCTTGTGATCTATGCACTGTTGATATCACACAAATACTGTGTTATTCCCTAAAACATCATGAAGCACAGCTAGAGAATATTAATGTCAAGTGGGCACGTGTGGCAGTTTTCATCAGCGCCCCTCCCCACCGTCTGTAAGCACCCCTCCTTCTCCATTCTGTCTTCCTCTCCTCTGCGCATGCACTGTGCAGCTGCAGTAGCAGCTCATTAGAGATGAGTGACACTGCAGTATGAAGGGGATTCCAGTCAGACCAGCAGAGCAGAGCCCCCCTATGGCCAAATCTGGCTAAACACCTTGCTTGCATCCCTTCAAAAGCACACACTGTACCATTTGCCGTTCTCCGATCAGCCTTTACCTCGCCCGGCCTTTTTGTCGGTTTCCTCCGCTGTTCTATTTCCAAGCCCTGTTTACTGAGAGCTTCACAGATCTGTAGATTTCTCAGTCAGTGCTTCACTGTGTTATTTTTAGGCTGCCCTACACTCTGCTAGTCATTTGACAGGTAGATGGGGGAGATAAAGAGATAGACTTGAGATGTGTCAGGGTGGGGTTTTTTTGTTGTTGTTTTTTTAGACTGACTTTTTCAGCACTTAATGTTTTCTCTTGTATTCGCAGAATGGGCTTAACGGGTTGCACTTGGCCTCCAAAGAAGGCCATGTTAAGATGGTGCTGGAGCTGCTGCACAATGGCATTGATCTGGAGACTAACACAAAGGTAAATCTACTTTCTTCAGTCAGTCAGGCTTCCTCTGGCAAGCCAAAAACAGGTTTATAAATGAGATAGTTCTGACTCTAAAGTTGTGTCATAAATGACACACTGTGCACTAAGCACTTATAATGCACTATGTACTCGACTCAATCATGCAGTGTATGCATTTTATAAGGTTATTCTGTCTTTCAACATCAGAGTCTGATAGCCCCTCCCCCTCTGTAATTTCATTAAAGCTGTGACAGTTGAGCGCATGGAGTGTGTGTATCATGTGTTAAGTGCATCATCCGGGTATGTAAAGTGTACTTTTTCTAATTTTCAGTGCGAACACACTAATCGCAATATTAAAATTTCATAGAATAGTGCATAGTAAGAATGCAAATTGGGACGCACCTTAAATTCTGATTGGCTGAGTTGCTACAATATGTGCTTGGCAACCTAAAATAGTCATTAGCCTATAGTTAAAGGGTTAGTTCACCCAAAAATTAAAATTATATCATTAATGACTCACCCTCTTGTCATTTTAAGCCCGTAAGACCTCTGTTCATCTTCAGAACACAGTTTAAGGTATTTTAGATTTAGTCCGAGTGCTTTTTGACCCTCCATTGAAAATGTATGTATGTTATACTGTCCTTGTCCAGAAAGGAAATAAAGACATCATCAAAGTAGTCCATGTGACATCAGTGGTTTAGTTTTGAAGCATCGAAAATACATTTTGGTCCAAAAATAAAAAAAATTATGACTTTATTAAACATTGTATTGTCTTCTGGTTCCGTCCGCAGTGACGCTGGTGACGTAAGACGCTGTTGGTTACCAGAGAACACTCACCAGCGTCACTGCAGACTCGTGAACGCGGAACCGGAAGTCTTTGTTAAAGTTTTTGATATTTTTGGACCAAAATGTGTTTTCGATTCTTCAAAACTAACCCACTGGTGTCACATGGACTACTTTGATGATGTCTTTATTTCCTTTCTGGACAAGGACAATATACCGTACATACATTTGCACATCAATGCAGGGTCAAAAAGCTTTCTGACTAAATATAAAATATTTTAAACTGTGTTCCAAAGATGAACAGAGGTCTTACTGGTTTGGGAAGACATGAGGGTGAGTCATTAATAATGTCATAATTTTCATTTTTGGGATCATATTGTATATTTAATAAAGACAAGTAATTCAAAAAATTGATAACATTAACATTGTACAAATTTGCGGATTTAAAATTTGCAGTTTCCTCTAGGAAAATGAGTCAAAAATATTGATCTCAACTTTCTTTATAATTTTTTTTTTTTTGTCCAATGAAATATTCTGGAGAATGAGAAAGTCCCCCCCACTGACTAACAATAGCAGGTAGCAAATAATAATACTTTTATTAAATAAATATTTATAATAAATCATAATGCAGTTTATTTCAATAGCTCATTTTACATAAAATGGAGGTAAAAATGCTTCACTGTCAAAATTATGTATTAGACATTTTAGATGAAAAAAGACTGAAAAAGATTAAAATAAATCACAAAAAAAAAAAAATATTAACATGACTATTATTTTTGCAGAAAGGGAATACCGCCCTTCATATTGCTGCTCTGGCCGGTCAAGAGAAAGTGGTTGCAGAACTGATAAATTATGGTGCCAACGTCAATGCCCAGTCTCAGGTTGGTCTGAGCCTCAAGACATGAATCAGCAAACATAGAATTGTGTAGATGAAAAGCTTAATTCATTTGTTCTTTGTTGTTATGTTGTGTTTTGCAGAAAGGTTTCAGCCCCTTGTACATGGCAGCGCAGGAGAACCACCTGGAAGTGGTGAAATATCTACTTGAACATGGAGCCAATCAGAGTCTTCCAACCGAGGTGAGTGACGCATTGAAATCAAACTCAGCAGAAATAAAACCCAAATGAACCTACAACTCTCCATTTCATCCCCCAGGATGGCTTTACTCCTTTGGCAGTAGCTCTTCAACAGGGTCACGAGAACGTGGTGGCCCTCCTTATAAACTACGGCACCAAGGGCAAAGTGCGTCTGCCTGCCCTGCACATCGCAGCACGCAATGACGACACGCGCACTGCTGCCGTACTGCTGCAGAACGACCCAAACCCAGACGTCCTCAGCAAAGTATGTGCGTTTGTACACAACTGAAAGGTTTTATCTCACCATGAGCGGGATTACGCATCATGACTCACGGAGCTCAGTGCAACCGCTCTTGGCTTGTAATTGCAGAGATGACTATGTGACAAGATAAACAGTACTGAGTTTGTTTAAAAATCTGTCAGCGTAGGTGTTACTGTTTTATACATATACTGAATCAATGAAATGTTACACTCTTTTCTCGTAGACCGGCTTTACTCCCCTCCACATCGCAGCCCATTATGAGAATCTCAGTGTCGCACAGCTTTTGTTAAACAGAGGAGCCAACGTGAACTTCACGCCGAAGGTCAGTTCAACTCTCATGTGAAATGCCGCTTCCTGCTACATAAAAGATCACATGAATTTAAATTTTTACTCATTTTCTCTTGCAGAATGGCATCACGCCAATACACATCGCTTCCAGGAGGGGGAATGTTATTATGGTGCGACTTCTGTTGGACAGAGGAGCTCAGATAGATGCCAAGACAAAGGTACAGTACCATTAGGGATGTGCAAAATATTTTCATAATCGCATGGTCTGCAGTTTGCAGTGTTGTTATTGTTGACTGAAACTTAAACTATTTTAATGTCATTTTCATGAACTGAAATGAAGCTTAAAGGAGTAGTTTACTTTTGAAAAAAACTTTTGCTGATAATTTACTCACCCCCATGTCATCCAAGATGTCTTTCTTTCTTCAGTCGAAAAGAAATTAAGGTTTTTGATGAAAACATTCCAGCATTTTTCTCCATGTAATGGACTTTAATGGGAACCAAACGGTTCAAGGTCCAAAAGACGCTTTCAGTACAAACTGCAAACTGTTCAAAGGGCTTTAAACGATTTCCAGACGATGAATAAGGGTTTTATCAAGCGAAACGATCACTCATTTAAAAACAAAATAACAAAGTTTAAGTTTTATAAACTCATATGCTCTTCTTGCTCTGTTACTCCCCTGTTCGAACTCGTTCATCAAAATGAATGAATCTTTTTCCGAGTCAATTCGTTCATTTCGTTCGTTGAATGAACCAAATGACTCGGAAAAAGATTTGTTCATTTTTCTGAAAGTGTCTTTTGAACCTTGAACCGTTTGGTTCCCATTGAAGTCCATTATATGGAGAAAAATGCTGGAATGTTTTCATCAAAAACCTTAATTTCTTTTCGACTGAAGAAAGAAAGACATGGACATCTTGGATGACATGGGGGTGAATGAATTATCAGCAAAAGTTTTTTGAAAAGTGAACTACTCCTTTAAGTTGAAGTACTAAAATAAATTAAAGCTAAATAGAAATAATTAAATATGAATAAATCAATAACTAGAATATTAAAAATAGTAAATACATTTATATATATAGTATATATAAGAGAGAGAGAGGGGGAGAGAGGCAAGAATATAAGTAAGGCAAGATTATAATATAGAGAGGCAAGAATATAATATAAACAGAGCGCAAGTGTCTCAATATATGTTCGTAAAAAAAATACATATTTCATAAAATGCAGCAGCGCTTAACAGGTCAGAATATAGACCTGTATAATCTAATAGTCAACCCTCTTGTATCCAGCCATAATCACATCTCACAATGACATTATTTGCTGGCGAAGATGAAAAATCACTCTGCTGAGACTCCTGAATCCGACTTATTTAATTCTAGAATGACCTATTTTACTTCCTCATGGTAAAAACAGGTGTTTTTCTCTTTGTGACCACTTGCTGTTTTAATGGTATACTGTAATGCGTTCATGAATAAGGACAGAAAATGCAGCTCATGTAGGATACATTAAAACATGGCTGGTAAAGTTCCAGAAATGCGTATTCTTTGCGTTATCTGCAGGATGAGCTGACGCCACTGCATTGTGCAGCCAGGAACGGTCATGTACGTGTGGTGGAGATCCTGCTAGACCAGGGCGCTCCCATTCAGGCCAAGACCAAGGTGGCCAAACTATATTACTAAGAAGGACTGTAACAGATTTTTAGCATTACTGATGGTGTAATCATGCTTATCAGGTGATAATAATGTGTCCCCCCTTGCAGAATGGTCTATCTCCCATCCACATGGCAGCACAGGGCGATCACATGGACTGCGTGAGGCAGCTGCTGCAATACAACGCAGAGATCGATGACATCACCCTCGACCACCTGACCCCGCTGCATGTTGCAGCACACTGTGGGCACCACCGCATGGTCAAGGTGCTGTTGGACAAGGGGGCAAAAGCTAATGCCCGCGCTCTGGTTAGTGCATCAGTCTTTTTCTCTTCTTTCTGCTTTTTTCCACCCTGTCTTTTACTTGTGACAACAACCCTGATTACCATCCGTAAAACAAATAGCTGAATTGAATAAATAGCCAATAAGATATGAAGAGTTCAGATGCAAAAGCCTCTAAGTGCCATTTGAAATTTTCTTCTAAAATGATCCTTTTTATCAAGCTTGTATATTTAAGTTCAGTAATTTGACTTAAATGGCAATGAAGATGACCTATTAATTGTCATTTAAGTGAAATTACTGAACTTAAATATACAAGCTTGATAAAAATGGTCATTTTAGAAGAAAATTTCAAATGGCATTTAGAGGCTTTTGCATCTGAACTCTTCATATATATATAATATATTTAGTGCAGTATTAATTGTAGAGGTGCACACTGTGAATGTATTACTTGATGTATCATTTTAGAATGGATTCACTCCATTGCACATTGCCTGCAAGAAGAACCACATGCGGTCCATGGACCTTCTGCTGAAGCACTCGGCATCTCTGGAGGCCGTGACTGAGGTCAGTTTACTCTCTGGCTGTCACTTTGATGGATAACCTCTGTTCACTTTGCACCTTCTACTCCTTTATCTTGACCCTTGTAGAAAATAGAAAGACTATGAAGGAATGAGCAATGACTTTTTCACGATTACTTTTGGACAAGAATATATTAACATTATACACTACTGTTAAAAAGTTTCAGGTTATGATTATTTAAAAAAAAAAACATATATATATATATATATATACAGTATATATATCAAAGAATCCTGAAAAGAAATGGATCATGGTTTCCACGAAAATATCAAGCAGTTGTTTTCAACATTTAAATAAATAAAAATGTTTCTTGAGCACTAAAGCTGCATATTAGAATGATTTCTGAAGGTTCATGTGACACCGAGCACTGGAGTAATGGCTGCTATAAATTTAGCTTTGCCATCACAGGAATAAATTTCATTTGAAGATATATTTAAATAAGAGTAATTATTTAAAAAAAAATGCATGTTCTTGTCTCTTAGTCGGGTCTGACTCCACTTCATGTGGCTGCATTCATGGGGCATCTCAACATAGTGAAGAGTCTTCTTCAGAGAGGAGCTTCACCCAACGCTTCTAATGTGGTAAGAACAGTGTATTTGTTTGATACCTCAGATATAATGAACATTTGAATCCCCAAAGCACTGCTGTTCTGCTTTACAAACCGGCTAATGTCTTTAGCAGCGATGGGAGCAGTAATCACAGTTTTCTTTTCAGAACTAAATGTGTGTGACTGTATTAAAATGTGCCATTGTAGAAAGTAGAAACCCCTTTGCACATGGCTGCCAGAGCGGGGCACTGTGAGGTGGCTCAGTTCCTGCTACAGAACAATGCACAGGTGGATGCCAAAGCAAAGGTATGCCAATCATACAATCAATCATACTGTTTTATCTTCATTTACCTTTTGTTCTAAAATCTCATGTTTCTTCTCTCTTTCCTTTCACAGGATGATCAAACCCCCTTGCACTGTGCCGCTCGAATGGGACATAAGGAGTTGGTGAAGCAGCTCTTGGAACATAAGGCCAATCCAGACTCGGCCACCACGGCAGGCCACACCCCTTTGCACATCGCTGCCCGCGAGGGACACGCCCAAACCACACGCATCCTGCTCGACGGGAATGCCCAACAAACCAAAATGACCAAGGTTCTCTCCTCTCAATTAACCCTTTACTAAGTCAGCATGATACAGAAGTTGCAATAGTCTTTTCTTCCCTATTGTGACATATATCTGTGTGAAACTGCTTCTCAAAGACGAAAATGTAGGGCGGGACTTGATTTTGTGTATTGATTGGATTGCTGGATCGTTATGGTTTGCTATTGATGTGATCTCATGTCAGTGACAGGTTGTCCCGCCCTCACTTCAGTAAACAAGCTATTAGAGAAGAGGTGAGATTTCATTGCAAGAGTGAGGGGACGTTATTTTGATTAAAGATTACGAAGGCACATAAAATAATGATGTGCACGGATAAATTGTTTGAAAAATATTGACAAAAATAATTGTTCATTTTGATTTCAAGGAGACTTTAAAGTGCTACCGACCAACCATACTTTAGAAACTCTTGGTGTCCTTTGAAGTCTGTGTGTTTTATAGAAATTATTAAAAAATATGGTAGCTCTCATTATGTTTATCTGTGTTTTCTTACAGAAAGGATTTACCCCTCTTCATGTAGCATGTAAATATGGGAAAGTGGATGTGGCGGAGCTGCTTTTGGAAAGAGGGGCCAATCCCAATGCAGCCGGGAAGGTAATTCATCAAGACGAGCATCTGATATCTCAGTACTCGTCTTCTAATATCAGATGACAGTCAGTGGTAGCTGACTGAGGCCATGTGCTTCCTCTCTCCCCTCTCAGAATGGCTTGACCCCTCTGCACGTGGCCGTCCATCACAACAACCTTGATGTTGTCAAGCTGCTGGTCAGCAAGGGCGGCTCTCCACACAGCACGGCGAGAGTAAGATACACATACACACTTTACTCTTAGAAGATCTTGGCGGGTGACTATTCTGAGCTGTGACGTTAGGGGTAGCAGTCTATTTCAGTCTTTTAAAAGCAGTTTAAGAAAGAAAAGGTCACTTTTACTTTTCCTCCAGAACGGCTACACAGCCCTGCATATTGCAGCCAAACAGAACCAACTGGAAGTGGCGAGCAGTCTGCTGCAGTATGGAGCTAATGCCAACTCAGAGTCACTACAGGGCATCACCCCGCTTCACCTGGCGTCACAGGAAGGTCAACCTGACATGGTGGCTCTTCTCATTTCGAAGCAAGCCAATGTGAACCTGGGCAACAAGGTGATACAGTGTTTAAGCTTTGATCAATAGGTATTTGGTATAGCTCTTTGAGAAAAAAATTAATAGAAAGCTATAAAAGATTGAGACGTGTTTGAAGAATGAAACGAGGAATGGGAAGAAATGCATTTAATATCTATCTGACATCCTTTGTGTTTGTGTGTGTGTGTGTGTGTGCAGAATGGACTGACACCTCTGCACCTGGTTGCTCAGGAAGGGCATGTGGGCATTGCAGACATGCTGGTGAAGCAGGGTGCTTCGGTCTATGCAGCTTCAAGGGTAAGACACTTCAATGCACACACACACACAGCAGTGCCATCTGTAGAATGTCCTAGAATTTAGACCCCAATGCCCTGTGTAAAGTAGAGCTAAATCGACAAACAAAACCAAATCTTCACATTATCTGAAGAAAATATGAGTGGGTTTGGCCAGTACAAACCTTGTCACCCCATGCTAGGATTTGGCTAGTTTTTAGGGTCTTGCTACAGTATGTGGAGGCTAAGATGTTCTGAGTGTTTTAGGGTTGTTTCTATAGAGTTGTTTAGTGTTTTTGACATGGTTAAGTAGTTGCTATGGTTTTCTGATTGTTTTTTAAAGGTTGCTAATATTCAATTGTAGCCTTGTTAAAACCAGACCATTCTCAGTTGTAACATAGACAAATCATTTCCAGAGGGGCGTCACCAACGGACGTTGCGGGTAGACCTAAAACCAATCAGAGCGATGAAGGAGATGACGTATATAGAGCGGCGGCCGAGTGTTGTTCTTTGCTCGGTTTTTAACAGAAAGGAAATCGCTTCAAAACAGACGCGATAGCTGATTCGAACGAGTGATGTTCGACGGCGCCATCCATCTTTGTAATGTAGGCTACAAAATCTGCTTCAAAATCCCAGCGCTGTCGTCATCGCGTAAAGCCCGCCCCAACGTTTCTGATTGGTGCCGCGATTTCGACGGATTGGAAATGGGCTTGAATGAGCTCTTTGCCAGACTAACTTTCAGAGCAAATCTAAATTTGCCGGAAGTTGTCTGGGTTTTCCCAGGCTAATGCAATTACCAAAGTGTTATGAGAATTTTAGGGTCTTGCTGTGCTATTAATGAAGTGTCCTGATTTTCTAGGGTGTTGTTATGCAATCACTAAGTTGTTGTTATAAGGTGTTTTTACTGTTGTTTTGCAGTTCTGAGTTTTTTTTAATGTTGCTATCCAGTTGCTAAGATGCTCAGAGAGTTTTGTTACCAGAGCGGGTCAGATAAGCCCAACCTCAAGTCTTTTTGATATTCTGATACTTCTGCTAAGCTTTAGGTGTCATTTGTATATGTAACGTTACTATATGTGGTTTGTCTGAAAAAATGAAACCCCTAACCGTATCAGCAATAGTAATAATAATGTTTGTTTAGCAAACACACTAACTAAATAGTGTGCTGAAATTCACAGTGAGTGACTTAAACCTTTTCCTAATCCATTCTTTACCCCATTAAATCATTCTGGCTCTAAATATAAGGGCTTGAAGTATTGTAATGTTAGCTGGCATTGATCATCTATGTGCACTGGAACCTTCCCATTTAGCTGTTCACTTGCTTTTTCTTTTCTTTCTCACCCTTTTTAATCTCTATCTCTCTCTCAGATGGGCTACACACCTTTACATGTGGCATGCCACTATGGGAATATAAAGATGGTGAAGTTCTTACTCCAGCTGCAAGCACACGTTAACAGCAAGACCAGGGTAAGTGCTACATCTGGATATACTGTACACAGGCCTCTTTTTGTACACTTTTCACTGTTTTCACTTTGTACTCTCATTCTCCTCCATCTTTCTTTTCCAGTTGGGATACACTCCTTTACATCAAGCAGCCCAGCAGGGTCATACAGACATCGTCACCCTGCTGTTGAAACATGGAGCACTACCTAATGAGATCACCACTGTGAGCTGACCCCCTACCCCCATATTGGAAATATGACAATTCTTCTCAAGAATTTTACTGCTGAATAGAGCAGCATGACTAGCATACAGTGGCCCTAAAAAAGTATATTTAGTATTATATTATATATTGTTTATGTAATATTTTCTATAATGATTGTTTACATTGCATTACTTATATTTTTTATGCTGTATATATACTATATTCCTTTCGCACCACATCAGAGGGATAAAATATTATCATATACAGATGTGAGATTTGGTGACCTGACTGTGTTATCTTTGGCAGAATGGGACGTCACCCCTGGGTATCGCTAAGCGGCTAGGCTACATCTCTGTCATTGATGTGCTCAAACTGGTGACTGAGGAATCTGTATCTGTGGTGAGAGTCGTTTGTGTCCTCATGAACTTTATCTTATCTCAGTATGAGATTTTAATCTTCAAAGCTTGATTTGTGTCTTTTATTACGTCATCTTTCATCTCTTGTAAGTCTGGTCGTCTTCTGTGAATTGTACTACATTTGCCATCTTGACTTGTTCATATATTCCCTCTCTATCCCTCAGATCACCACTGAGAAGCATCGCATGAGTTTCCCAGAGACGGTGGATGAAATACTGGATGTGTCGGAAGATGAAGGTGCGTACGTGTGGCACATATTGGATTTAGCCTGAAGGATCATACTGCAGTAAATACCACATTTAAACGCTGATTCTCAGATGCTGTGACAAGGTCTCAGTACCATGAGGTTGGTGCTAGACTCTCAATTAAAAACATGAGCCAGTTGGCAGATGGGTTGGTGGGTCATATCCCAAAAGTTACAGTCTGAAGTGAACTAGAGATTAGAGATGATATCACACTCAAAGATTACTTACTTGACTGCACCATGTAATTTACACATGAAGGATCAATTGTGTAAATTAAATTAAATGTCATCATTTACACACCCCATGTCTTTTGAGGCTTATTGACTTATTAAGCAGTTTTTTAGCAGGATCCAAGCTGCTCTTTTCCATAAAAAGAAAGGGAATGTTGACCAGGGTTATTATCATGAACTAAAACCATTAAAAAAACACATATTTACATATTTGTTTAAACTGCGCTCTCATCAGTGTGGACTTTGGGATGTTTGGGAAGTATTTCAAACTTATTTTTATCCATAAGCAAAACTGATAAAGATCCTTATTCGTTATTAACTGATGTTTACTGTGCATTTAGGCTCTGTATAAGGTTTGTAACTTACTTGACAGCCATATGTCGATTGGTCTCTATCCAATTTCAATGTTAGGAAAAGAACAGCTTGGACATTCTGCTGAACATTTCCTTGTGTGTTTTAAGGATATAGAAGAAATGAAGTTTGGAAAGAATGATTAACAGATGACAGAACTTCCATTTTTTTTTATTGATCTATCCCCTTAAGCTTCATTGGCTCTTATCATTATATGTGTTTGTTTCTTCTGATAGATGATTGATAAATTTCCATTTATTTAGGACTTTAATGGAATGAAAAAGCAAAAGCAAGTATTTCATGATATTCTAAACCTACTGTAAATCTACTACGGTAGCATCGCCAGCCTGAAATGTTCCTTCTTCCTTCCTGCTGTAGGAGTTGCTCAGCTAACATTAGGTAGGAGTGTCTCCCACTTTCTGGCTTGGTTGTCCGGTACTCAGTGGTTCATGAAACGTGTGCCTCCATTTCAAGCACTCTCATCTTGTCTCTGACCCTCAAGTCTCTTTAACTGCTCTCTATTTTTAACATTTCGCTTTGTCTTACTACGGTGTTGGCCCTTCATTATCGTGTGGTCATGATGTTTCTTTTCCTTTACTGACAGTAACGTGTTTGTGGATCCATCATTAACAGGACTGCATCTGAAATTACTTATACACTGTTTGTGCCAGGGTGTTTCTTCAACTATGGGTATTTTTGGCTTAAAACATACTTTCCACAACAATTTCCAAAAGAGGATAGACTGGCATCACAGGTGAATTCAGTTCAATTCAGTCAGTTTCCATCACAATTTTATATTATATTATATTCTATTCTATTATATTATATTATATAATATTATATTATAGATTAATTTATATCATTTAACATGTTTATTTGTGTATCCGTTGTTTTTTGTACTGATATTTTGAGACACCAGTCTCATATTAAGATTGTATTATTATTTTATTCATTTGTTATTAACATTTTTATATTTTGTGTTTGTGTATATGAAGAGTTCAGATGCAAAAGCCTCTAAATGCCATTTGAAATTTTCTTCTTTAATGAGGATTTTTATCAAACTTGTATATTTAAGTTCAGTAATTTCACTTAAATAACAATTAATAGGTAATTATCATTGCCATTTAAGTGAAATCACTGAACTCAAATATACAAGCTTGATAAAAATGATCATTCTAGAAGAAAATTTCAAATGGCACTTAGAGGCTTTTGCATCTGAACTCTTCATATACTGTATATATATATATATAGATATATAGATAGATAGATATAGATATATAGATATATAGATAGATACATATACATACAGGATTTTCACATACATGTATATAAAAAGTATTGGGAAACTAAAATTTTGTTTTGTTTTCGATAAAAATCAACCGCTGGGACCCGTAGAGCCCGTAGTTGAAGGGACACCCATAGATGAGTTTCTCTTTATCCAAACACTAAGGGAGTCACACTGGGAGTGAATAATTTTACTAATTGATGATGATTATTTGACTCAGCAGAGGGCTCCAAAATGACACAGTGTATGTTTTACGCGTCTCTGAACACCTGTGATTAAGCCCCTACTACAATAACATCAAATAACCTCTCCCATGCAGATTAAGTGTGATCTTCTCTGCACTACCGGGCATGTCCACCTCAGTAACCAATACCATGAAATCTTACCGAATTTCTTGATTTCTTCGTTTTCCATTGGCTCTCTGTGTGTATGACTTCATTGCTTGGACTTGGTGAATGAGTGAAGGTTCTTGTTTGTGCTCGACCGGGAATGATGGATTGTGAATGCTGAAATGACTTCTGAGCTTTCCTTCCTTTCTCTTAATCAGACTTTTTTCCTGCAAACCTCCTACATCATCGTCTGTGACATATTTTGTGCTGTATGTAGGTGATGAACTTCTCGGGATGGATGGGGCTCGCTATTTGAAGCTGGATGACCTAAAAGACCAGGATGATGATTTTCTGTCCCCCAAGAAAACCCTGAGGGATTTTGAGAGCGGGATGGGCACAACGTAGGTCACAAGAGCACAATGCAAAGATTGTGTCATTTGGCTAAGATGCTAGAACAGAATACATTTTTTTACTTTGAAATAAAGTAGTCAGATTACAACTATTTCCTTCATTCTCTCTAGACCTTACTCACCCGCAATTCCCAGAATTCCATGTGTGTCACCTGAAACTGTCATGTTGGACCAGGTATTGTACTTTTCTGCTTTATGTGTTGAAATAAGAAATGTTCCTTGCTGAAAAATCCAGAACTTGTGTTATCTAAATGGTCAAAGATTTGTATTTGTTAGTCTAAGCCAGCAGTTCTCAACCTATTTGACTCCAAGGGCCCCTATAGTCCACAACAATCTATTGGCACTTCTTGTTTCTGTTAATTAGAACGAACATTTAAATAGTAAAAATGTTTAAAAATGATTATAATGGGTTCTGTGTGCTTTTGACTCAATGCAACACACACTCACATACAGTGTATGCCAATGTCAGCTCTTAAGCGAGTGAATTCAAGTGGGCGAGCCTATGGTGCGATGATATATAACTATTCATTAATGTCTTGCTCTGGAGGCCATGTGATATAACAAATCCCACAATATCCAAATGATCCATTTTTGGAGGTTGGTTGAATAAATGCTTTGTTCATAATGAGAATAATGTTTTATTTTAAGCTATGAAACTTGCAGGATGTTTAATGCTACAAAGACCTCAGTCTTATATGTCAAAAAATCAAGGCAAATTTGATTTCTCATGTCATGACCCATTTAAGAAAGTTTTCTGGTTGAGAAGCACTTGTCTAACCTGGTAAACCTTTTTTTTTAAAGCTGGTTAGGACTGGTAAACCAGCTTGGCTAAGCTGGAAGAAGCTTGAGTTAATGAACTCTATTTCTAAACAGTTTGACCAGCTGCTATGACCTGGTTATCCGAGCAGCGTTGACCTTTTCTCTCTTTTCCGCTCATAAAGCTGTCATTGTACCTCTGTTTGTGTGTGTCTTTTGCGTTTGTGTGGTCTGTGCTACTCCTGTGTGTCTGCAGCACACACCTGTCCCTTTGCCAAAGGAGTATGACGAGGACTCTCTAATCCCAAGTAGTCCAGCCACAGAGACCTCAGACAACGTTAGCCCAGTGGCCAGCCCCATCCACACTGGGTCAGTGCACATGATTCACATTCATCCTAAACAAATCCAGTAAACAGACGTTACGGACACTTCTCACCGCTTTTATCTCCGTATTTATCTGTTGGTCATAAATGCTTATTTTTATACCTGTCTTCACTGTCATCTTGTGTCTAGGAGTAGGCTTATAGATTTAAACTGGGCTTCCGGTTGTTTTGAAAATTCATTGTGCCTGATTTGCTCACCGACTGGTTGTTTGACAGGTTTCTGGTCAGTTTCATGGTGGATGCGAGAGGCGGGTCCATGCGGGGCAGCAGGCATAATGGTCTGCGTGTGATCATCCCGCCACGCACCTGCGCTGCACCCACACGCATCACGTGTCGTCTGGTCAAACCACAGAAACTCACCACCCCACCTCCTCTAGTGGAGGGAGAGGGACTCGCATCTCGTATTATCTCTCTAGGGCCTTCCAGTATGCAGTTTCTAGGGTAAGTGTGTGTGCTTGTGCAATAAGGATGGCAATTGCTTGCTATTCTAGTTGTGATACCATGAATGATTCTTTTAGTAGGACTGAGGCTACGCCTACATTAATCCGGATATATTTGAAAATGCATCCTTTTCTATATGTTTTGGGTGTTTTGTCCTCAAAAACAGCTTTTTAAAGATGCTCTCATTTGAAAACTCATTTTGGCATTGTAGTGTGGACTGTGAACACGGAGGTATTCGAAAACGATGATGCATGTTCAGTCATGAGACATAATTTTACCAATACGGTTATAGCGACATGTGCTGTGAGTCAAAAAGTCAAAAGAAAAGCCAAAAAAATGTACTTGTAATTGCTGTCCTGTGGCAAAACTTGAGGGCAATTGCAATTTATACCATGCATGGAATAGAGATTTTGAGTATGACCTGGATGCACCAGTAAGTGGTGGGATATCTAGTTTTATTGTAGTTTTTTAGCTTGTAGAATAACTTAATTTTGTATTTATTTTGTCTGTACTTATGCATTAAGATGATTTAATTATTTTCTGATGTTTCAGTGTGGACGAACAACTTTTGTGTGCAGGTTTTTAAAACTAAAACCCCATTTTCAAATGTATCTGGATTCATGTAGATGTAGCCTGAGAAAGACAGAATTGAGAAAGTGAATTAATCATTCATGTTGTCAAATAAAGATATTTTCAACTAAAGCTTTTGCACTTTCCCATCATTCACTTCAGGCCAGTGATAGTGGAGATCCCTCATTTTGCTTCCTTGAGCCGAGGTGATCGGGAACTAGTGGTTCTGCGAAGTGAGAATGGCTCCGTATGGAAAGAGCATCGGAATCGCTATGGCGATGATGTTCTGGAGACCATCCTAAATGGAATGGATGAAGGTAAGTTTTATGTTTCACTAAGAGGAATTTCCATACGCCCAAAGAGAAAAGAGTTTTATTTTCTCTTTCAGTAATGTAGCAGGAGGTAGTAGAAGACAGATTACCTATCACTTTACATTTCCTCTACAATTATTTCTGTAAGACTGACCTTATGACCTTGTTCTCTCTGGGTGCCTTCATCAGATCTGGAAAATCAGGAGGAGCTGGAGAAGAAAAGAATCCGGCGCATAATCTCCACAGACTTCCCTCTTTACTTTGCTGTGGTGTCACGTGTCCAACAAGAGAGCGATCTTATTGGCCCAGAGGGAGGTCAGCTGATGAGTAAGCTGGTGCCTCAGGTCCAGGCCATTTTCCCCGACACGGCGGTCACTAAGAGGGTCCGTCTTGGCCTACAGGTGAGTTTTCAAAATGTAGAGAGATTGACAGTAAAGCTGATATTGATTATGAGTGCAACTTTCTTTCATTTTTACCTTTGATAATGAAGTTGACAATTATGTATTGCAGGGGAAAACGTTTATTTAAAATGGTGTACACATTGTCAAAAATAAGACCATAGTTATAAAATTAATAATACAAAATTATTATTATTATTATAAATATATTAATTAAAAATATAGTTTCGAGGTTGGTGCATAAATTCAGAGGAGAATGACTGAAAGTGATCTCAGGAATAACTGATTTATTTTTCTGCTCTTGTCTCTATCCAGGCCCAGCCAATTCCTGATGAGCTCCTGACTCGGCAATTAGGAAACCAGGCCACATTCAGTCCTGTTGTGACAGTAGAGCCTCGTCGGCGCAAATTCCATCGACCAATTGGGCTGCGTATCCCTTTACCTCCATCTTGGAGAGAGAGTGCACGTGATGCCGGCGAAGGAGACACTACTAGCCTCCGCCTCCTCTGCAGTGTTATTGGTACAGTCCAGTTCGGATATATTTCAAAGAAAACATTTTCTGAAATTGATATTTGTGTTTGGGAGAAAGGAAGATTGTCTTGAACGCCAGTCTTTTCCAGCCTCGGCCAGATTTGATGTAGCTGTCCTGCCAGGCTGCTTGGAAAAGGCTGAAACAGACTGGTGTCCTGCCTGGAGAGGGACACTGGGATAAAGATAGACTCAGCAAGTTCATTCCAGATGGTGTTGGTTAAAAAAAAAAAAGGATTTTATAAAAAAAATGTGAACCTTCTGCAGGTGGCACCGCTCCAGCTCAGTGGGAAGACATCACTGGCACTACCAAGCTCATGTATTCCCACAACTGTGCCAACTTCACCACCAATGTGTCTGCAAGGTGAGACACAAAAGCATTCAAGGATAAAGCATCTAGGAGCGAATGTATTTCTATACAAAAAGATGCGTCTTATTTATTAAACACCTATATCTGTTTTAAGCAGTCACTAAATGTGTTAAAATAGCACTGTACTATAAATAATATAAAGTCATTCCCATTCTTTTCATCGCTAACATACCTCATTTTACTGTAAATTCGGCTCATTCTAAATTGTGCTTTATTCAAAAGCCTCAGCACTATTTTCCTTGCACAATTAACGTTGAAAGCAATTTATTCTTGGTGAATTCCCCCGTCAAGGTCCTGGCAGCTGCCATTGCATTCCATTTATTATATTTATACATATTTACATGTAAACATTGTCTCTTGTGAACCTATTTCCCCCCTCTATTGTACGTGTGTCTCCTGTTTCGCTACAGGTTCTGGCTGGCGGACTGTCCACGAACGGCAGAGGCCGTGACCTTCGCCAACCTGCTGTACCGTGAGCTGATGTCAGTTCCATACATGGCCAAATTTGTTGTATTTGCTAAGATGAACGATGCCAGAGAGGGCCGCCTGCGCTGTTACTGCATGACTGATGACAAAATAGACAAAACCCTTGAGTTGCACGAGAACTTCTCCGAGGTGGCCCGCAGCAGGGACATTGAGGTTAGCTGACATAAAAGCATATGTATATGTCATATATATTTTTCTGATGTACACTAAAAAAAAAATCAGAAAAATAAATAAGATCAATTTTCTTTTAGCATTGTTTTTTTAACACCAGTATCTTTTCTGAATGTGAAGGAGACAGTAGAGAAAGAAATCTCTGATGACCGAGGCACTCCTTAATTTAAATGTCTTTATTAAACAAATGACATATGCTAAACGGACAAATTTAAAAAGCCTTTAGGGCTTTTAAAATTTGTCCGTTTAGGACATGTCATTTGTTTAATAAAGACATTTTTATTAAGGAGTGCCTCGGTCATCAGAGATTTAGGTTAAACTTTTTTAAAAGGAATTGAGCACGCCACTCATCTTGAATCCATACAGACTTTTCTGAATGTGTTTGATGTGCATTTTGCAATGCATGATGTGTCTTGCCTCATTTGAATTGTTCTCAAAGTTTTAATTTCTAGATTCTGTTCTTACAATGCAGTTTAGATCTCATTTGAACAAATTTTTCAGCTTTTTCAAAGGGAATAAGAAATAAAATGCAAGTTTATGATGATGCAGCTGTGTAATGTACATATCACGTCGACTCGCTACATTAACGCTAAGTCTCTGACTCATTCTGAATCACTGCTCTCCTTGTGTTTCTCCTTCATTTTCCTCCCACAGGTGATGGAGGGGATGCCGCTCCACTTAGAATGTTCTGGAAATCTGGTGCCCGTGAGGAAAGCAACCCAGCAGCCTCGTAGCTTCAGTTTCCAGGCCTTCAGAGACAACCGGCTACCTGTCTCTGTAAAGGTCTGTACATCGGTCTTTCCCTATCTATTTCTGTCTTAGGAAATATAGGCTGATAAGTTCATGTCGGCTTCCCTTGTTTTAAAAATGTTCTTTTTTCAGTCAACCTACACATATTTGTGTCATTGAGTGTCATCTTGTGTGTGTTTGTTAGTGTGTGTTAGCATTGTCAATTTTATGTACTCCCTAATCTCTTCAGTAGGGCTGCACATGTATTCAAAGTAAAATGGCCTAGTGTGAACCCAGAGCGTTCAATTAAAGCTTGCACTGCACTTTCTTTATAGTCACCATTGTGTGTGTAAAGTGCTTCTTGTTAACTATATTTTCACAAGAATGCAATTTCAAACATTTTGTCATTATAGAAGTTATTAAAATCTAATAAGCTGACACTGGGTTAAAGCTAAAAATTATGACAGGAATATTACAGATGCTCATTATGGCTATTGTATAATATATTATTATTTGTATTGTTACAAACTGCTCCGAGACTAGGGTTGGAGATCCAAATGCAGTTTTATTAGGACAATCCAGAATCATAACAATTCAAACATAAAACAAGGTCCAAGAAACACAGGCAAACAGGGTAAACCAGGGCAGAGAATCAAAAACCAAGACACAGAAAACTAGTATATCGCTCAGAATGGCAGTGTAACATAAATATACGACTTTGCAATGAATGACTGAAAACACTGGGCTTTTACTGTATAGGCAAAGCTAACCAGATAATGACACACAGCTGAATGTAATCACACAGGCAATGGATACTGGGAAATGGAGTTTATGATGAGATTGCACAAGAGACTGAAGGAGTGCCCTCTGGAGGAGATCATGGGCACTCCAGCTGGCTGATGTGACATTAATATTCCAGATAATATTAATAAATAATATTCTAATATCAAATTATTATTCATCATTTATTATGCCAAGTTATTATACTATTTTATAAAAATATGTTATTCTTATATTCAAGATCATATTAATAAATCACATTAATAAATCACATTCTAAATATGAAATTATTATTTTATTATTTCCAATTATGATATATTTTATAATAAATTCTGTTGTATTAATATGGTATGTAATATTAATAACTAGTATTATAATATTAAATTATTTAGTAGGAGTATTTTTATTATTAGAATAATGATAATAATGTTGAAGTGGTGTTTTTTTGCTTTTTTTTTTTTTTTTTTTTTATGTGTGAGTGGAAAGTTGACAAAACTGTACAAAAGATATAAAGATTTTTGTTTCCTCTTTCAAGTCCTCTTCCAGTGTAAATCCAAACAGAACTGGGTACTTTTTTTTTTATCTTGGTTCACTTTCAGATCATTTTCTTTTTAAGAGGACTTAAATAGTAACACTTATTTTTTACTGGCAGTAGAGCGTGGATAAAACAATGCTAAAACGACGGATTTTGAACCTAAAGGCATTGTTTGCCTTGTCTTTGAGAGCTTCTGTTTCCATGTAATGTTTTGCTATTTGGTTCTTTAAGTAAGCAATATGAGATGTTACATCTTTATCATATCGCAGCTGGAATCAATATTTGTCAATATTTTTGGTCCAAATCGTGCAGCCCTTGTCTTCAGTATCTCTGATTTTTCCCAGTGCTGTCTTTCTCTCTTCACTTGTCTCCCTCCCTCCATTTTGGTGTCTGTCATTGTGGCTTACACTCTGCATCTCTTTCTGTGATTGGTCAGCCACAGACAAGCTGCTCTGTGTTGTATTTTTGGCTCTGTGGCGTAGTGGTTCACCTCGTAACTATTGTATTAGTGACGTGAGCATGCCCTTAACTCTTTCACCTTCTAGCCTGCCTGCCTGCCTGTCTGTATGTCTGTCTCACTGTCTCTCTCTCTCTCTCTCACGGTCACTCACTTTCTGTCTGATCTCACAGACGGCCAGGTAAAAGTAAAGGTAAATCTCTCTGTCTCTCGCCTGCCTATGGACTGCCTCCATCCCCTTCCCCACCTCCCGTCAACCTGTATGAGTCACAGCCGGGCAGCTGCTCTGTCTAACACCTTTAATCTCTCTTTCTCTACCTCTCTCTTTCTTCTCTTTCTCCCTTTATTCATCTTCCCCCTCTCTTTTGTTCTTATTTGACCTTCGCCTCATTTTCCCCCATCTGTTTCATCCTGTTCTCCTCTCTCCATTTGTTTCTCCCTCCCTCATCATTTCCCCTGGTTCATCAGGTGAGAGACGGCAATAAGGAAGCCACCGGGTTCCTGTCCTTCCTGCGCAAGTCCACCAAGTACGAGGACACGCAACACGTGCTGTGCAACCTCAACATCACCATGCCTCCCTGTGTCAAGGTGCTGTCGTTTTCCAACATTAAAACAAGATTAAAATAAAATATTGTACTTCAAAATAATAACTAACTAATTAACTACCTAAATAAATAATATGTAAAACATATCAATAAATACTTATCATTTTAACCCTAAAACCGTATTCTGGACAAATGTGGGCAAAATAGTTTATTTATTTTTAAAAAATATTTCCCTTGATCTGAGCGGTACAAGACCTGGCTACTTTTCCTAAGTTTGCCTCCTGAACACACACATTTTTTTTTGACTCAATTCTACAATGTTAAGTGGGTGAAAAAAACTCCTTAATCTTGTATTTGGGTCAGAAATGGTCACCCATAGAAATGAATGGGAAAAACTGTAATTTAGAGCATTCTAAAATAAGCCAATATAAGACACCAGGTGACAGCAAAGTCAATTCATCTTTAGGTTTTAGCTCTAAGAACTTATTGGAATGCTATTTTAATGTAGTTAAAAACAATTAAAAAAATAAAACATAAAAATAAGCATAATTTACTTAGAAAATATGGTATTTTTTGAAGTAAATAAATTCAAAAATACCCCCAAAATAAAAAAACACCATAAATGGATAGACAAAACTTTATCAAAGACAGTGATATAACATTTATAATAAATAAAAAATAGAATCACACTCTATCACACATAGAGTCCTCTGTGCCCACATTTGTCCACGATTACAGGATTAAGGCTATAAAGTGAATACGGTTTGAGGGCTACAAAAATATATTATTTATAAATAAATGTTATTTAAAAATCTGTCTGTAAAAACTTTAGTGTTAAATTAGTGTTTGGAAAACTAACCCTGTCTAAAAGTATTTTTTATGACCTTCTAAACTCAAATGACATTCAAATGAATTTGTTAAAAGTAACTAATCTCCAGCACATAATGGAGTTACTACACTCTAACTTTAACTAAGAAATTGTCGTTCTTTTTTTTGTGAACATGACATTTAGGATATATCTAGAGATATCTCAAGATATTCTTTAAAGGTACATATATTGTTCAGACTACATAAATAGTTGTCATTCCAGTTAAATCTACTTAAATGGATTCAAATTGAATGAGAAGTTAGAGCCATGCCACCATGAAGGTTTGAGCTTGACCTATCCTCATTCCCTCTGTCCTCAATGTGTTTCTGTGACTATATTTCTAGAAAAAAATGATGCACATTAAAGACTTGTGTATTGCACAATTCATCTTGGTTTTATCCTATCCTCACATCAAATGCTCGTCAAATGTGAAAATAAAAAAGTTTAAAAAATTTAAAAATGGAAATAAAAGGAGTTGGTACAGTTTCAGATGTAATATTGTCTTCAGATTCTCTTCCTGTGTATTACAACAACTTCAAGCTATTTTTATACATGAGCACTTTGCCTTGATGTGCATAGAGCTACATGCTCCAAAAAAAATACTGTAGGAAAGACAAAACTGCTATAGCACTGTACATAATAATTTTTTTCTCTTAGGTGGTGGGTAGCGATGAGCGGCGGAGAACGTTGACCCCTCTTGCCCTGAGGGAGAGGTACAGCGCCCTGAACGAGTCCAGCCTGGGTAAGACATAACGTCCCCTTAACTGTGGAGGAGGGGGGCTTCTGAATGCTGTACCCATATCCTTGCTTCTATACCTGCCCAATTTCTCATGCATGGCTGTGACTGGGCATTGGATGCTGAGCACTGCCCTCTTTTATGAGGGTGATGCTGGGATTGCACTCAAAGGGGCCACATGTAACACAAACAATTCAGAGCAAACGGGTGGCCCTTACATTTACTGAGCGAATGAGCAGTAATGAAACGCATGGTGCTGGTTTGATTCCAGAGTAAATACTCTTAGCATGGCAAACTCTAGCTTTGAGAATGAGCTTTAAAGGGAAAGGACTGCTAAAAGTTGCCTGTTTAGACGTGTAGAAGGTGGAGCAGTGATTATAGAGGGGGTTCGGGAGGTTCAAGGTGGCTTTGCCGTCCGAAACACATCACATCTTCATTGTTCTTGAAGCGGATGAAGCCAACTAATGTATGTAGTGTGCAGATTTTGACCAGTTCTTGGTAAGTATCGATCAACGTTATAGTTTCAGTCATCACTTATAACTAATCTAAGTTCATTTTTACAGGATGTTTTACCATACAGTATAGTGGCTTTAATGTCATTACATTGATTTCATATGTAGTTCTCAATATAATATATGGATGCCTTTCAAGAAGAGGCCGTTTTCATTACATTCCTGTTTTTCATGTCTTTATTGACAAAATCTTTACTGAACATTTTCATTATTCATATATATATATATATATATATATATATATATATATATATGACTGATAAGACCATATATTAACCAACTCAAGGATATGGTTATATTGTGATCTATAGCGTTTATTATATTAAGTCTCCTGGGTTTTTCAGGAAAAGCCACATAAAGTTGTAAGCTGGGTATGTTATTAAAGTGTTTCATCATTGGACCATCTGTGAAAACTGTGGAATATTTTGTCTTTGATTCAGCCACTGTAAATGTCATGGAGAGAACCGAGCTAAAGATCACAGTAATAGCAGAACAGCTTGGACTGAGCTGGACCGGTAAGAGCTTTGCCTCTTGTATCTCGTTTCATTACCTTTCAGTCTTTTTCCCCTCAACTCACATTCTATAATCGCTTCCATTTTCTGTTTTCGTTGTAGAACTTGGGAGGGAATTACAGTTCAGTGTGGATGACATTAACCGGATGAGAGTGGAGAATCCCAACTCTCTCCTGGACCAGAGTTTGGCTCTGCTCAACCTGTGGGTTAGTCGAGAGGGCAAGAAAGCCAAGAGTGAGGATCCGTAATAAAACACTCTTACCACTTTGTGACTTTATTCACCTTCCCTAGTGAAAAATAAATATACTAAAATGTAATTGAAATACATTTATTTTATGCTACAAATACATTTACATGTTTATGTACTTATGTAACATAAATGTAACATAAATATCCTGCAGTTGAACTTTTAGGCTAAAATCAGGCTTGGAAAAATGCCCTTTATTACTAAATTATGACTATTTTTGATCTAAAACATACTAACATTATAAGGGCAACCTATGACACATAATAAAATAACCCCATGTCAGGGGACCTTTAAAATACATTTTGGCATAGGTTTTTTTTGGGGGGTTATTTTGGGAGACTTCTGACTCATTAGCTAGAGGGATAGTAACCAGATGAGTATCAAAGATGAATAAAACAGTCAAACTATTTGCTCTACTTACCACTGTTTCGTAATGGACTGTTTTTGTTCAGTCAAAATAAAGCAGATGAGACCAGAAGCATTGCACATTTAAGTTACAAATGGCCACATCCACTCTTGTGTTAAAAATATGGTGGATACATCAGTATTATTATTATAAACTAAGCAAAACCTATTGCCATAAAAAGTTGTCATAGCCAGAAACAGAACATTTATGAACTGAACTGAACTAAAACTGAACTGAAATTAAAAGCACAAAACTATAACATAGAATTATTTCATTTACAGAACCTCATTTTACTCTTTATGACAGTTTCATTGTCTCTGCATGCTACTATAACACTTCTACCATCATCATATCTTTAGTGGAGAACCTTTATGGAGCGTTGAAGAACATTGACCGGGCAGATATTGTGAAGTGTCTGGAGGCTCAGGCTCCACAGGGTCTTCCCGAGGCGGTGGAGGAAGGAGCCTGCAGGCTGGATGATCGGGACTCCACTCTGCTTTCACCAAGTGTCATCAATGGTAAGAACAGACTGCAGCTTGCACTGATCTTCGTTTACCAATGAACTGACATTAGACTCCATGTAAAGCAAGGCTTAGATGTTTGAAGCTGCATGGGTTGGCCGCTAATTGCATACTAGCTCTAGTCTCCCAAAATCTAGAGCATGAAATTTGGGTACGAGACAGGATTTAATGAGATTCTTTTTTTTTTATTATTTATCTCTTTTTTTCCCCACTGATTAATCGGGCATGCCATGGCAATGCCACCATTTTCAGCCTTTTCCATTCATTATTACTAAAACCTCTCAGTAGGGAAAAACTATTATCACGTGATGGCATTACTTGACAAATATGAGATTTGTTTCAGTGCAACAGGTACATATAACAAATGCAAATACAAATTTGTATAGCAATATATATATAAGTCGAAGTAATTATGATAATGGGAACATTGGAGTTGGAGTGTGTGTGTGTATGAAATGTTATACAGTTTATATCCTTTATTAAAAATGTTCCCATTACCATTATATTTATATACTGTATATATGTTTTTCTCATATTTTCTCATCCAAACTTACAAAAAGGTTCAATGCAATTGCAATACACATAACATAATAGTATAATTATGGTGAAATGCAATTGGCAAATACTATGCAAATTTCAATAAAGGTTTATATAGAAAAATGACATTGGGAAAACATATCATCCCCTGGTTTCACAGGCAATACTTAAACCTAGTCCTATACTGTAATGCATGTTTGAGCTGTTTTAACTGAAAGCAATTTGCACTGATACACTTACAATATGTCAGTGCTATTATATCTCAAGATGTGTTTGTAAAAGCTAAGTAAATGTCCTAATTTAACTAAGGCCTAATCCTGGCTTAATTTAAATCCTGTCTATGAAACCAGGCCCATATATTTATATTTTAAAGCATGCAAATAGGGCATAGGACGAAGCAGTTGTGTTATGTAAATAGCGAGAGTGATATTGTAGCAGTTATGCTCCAGAAAACAAATCGAATGTGTTTTGGGGTGTGTTTTTAAAAATAATGCCAGTGAGGCACAGATAGGAGTATGTAGGCTCGTATGATGATTACTTAAAGAGAAGAAAACAGGCCTCCATACTTGTGTCTGCACCTCTCCTTCTCTCTCTTTTCCTCCTCCTCTCTTTCTCCAAACATGTCATCTGCAGCCCAGCCGCCCTACTCTTCCTCCTCACTGCTCTCCTCTTCGACCTCCGACCTCATAATGACCTCCTCTGGGCCTCCTCTTTTCCTGTCATTCTAGTTTTTGTTTTGTTTCGTTTTCTAATTCCTATTTTGTGTGGGACCTGTGATGTGTCTTTTCGCATGCGCATGCTGCTTGACGTGCTCTCTTTTTGTCTTTTCTGGGGGTAAAGGTATTTGTTGGGCCTTCAAGTAAAACGAGGCCTTCGTTTATGTTGCTCTATAACAAACTTGTGTATGCATGGCATGCTTTCAACGTATGGGTTTCTTCCTGTTTCTATTTTTACTGAGTGGCGCTTGAACTCCTGAATTTCAGTAACTCTTCTTCTAATCTTTGGTGAATATATTGATGTTGTTGTTGTTTTAGTGTTTTAGGCCCTGCTGTTCTGTTGTCAACAGTTTACATAATGCTCTGGAAAATGGATCTGTGACCATATCATGTTGCAGAAGCATTTTTGGGAATGTTATGTTTTTAACTGATATATTGCTGTCGTTGGTGTTTTTCCAGCGTGTTTGTGTGTCACGCAATGATTGTGTGACACCATTTTCAACTGCAGGGCTCTGTGATGTTGCTGATGTCATGGACTGTATTCACAAAAAAATGAAATTGTGTAGCCATTAGGGCCCCCTAGTGGCTAAAAACGGAATCGGTCACGTATAACCTTTTTATACCTGGTTAATCTTTAAAGATTAAAATCTAAGAGATCTGGCTAAAATGGTTGCATAGAAGTATTAAAAAATAGAAACAACGTTTGCAAAATATTCACAATATTATTCAAATATAAAGATGTGAATGCAGTCCTAATCGTGTGTGTGTGTGTGTGTGTGTGTGTGTGTGTGAGAAAAATCTAACCTCTCTGTCAGGCCATAATCAGATCACTCAGAATGATGTTGTGTGTGTGAAATCAAGATGTTTCAGAGCCATAATTTTGTGTTGTGCGTTATATTGTGGGTTTTGCTGTAATGTGACGTGTGTTTGAGTGTGTTTACATTTATTTGCACGCGTACCTGTGTGTTTAGGTGTATGTCTTCGTATGTGGCTTTTGTACGATCAAGGAAGCTTTTACACATTTGCCACATGTTGTGTTGCTTTTTTGTATTTGAGTGACCGTAGATGAATTGTGAAGTGTCTAAATGTGTGCACTGTGTGTGTCTGAGTCACGTGTGTGTTTTCTCATTACTGGGGGCACAGTGAAGGTCTCCATTAAGTCATCACTATAAATCATCCTCATTCTCTTCTTCAATATTTCTTCATTTCTTCTTTTCATTATCATTTCCTTATAATAGTGGAACATCAACCATCCATGCATCCATTCACCTACATACAGCTCTACAACATTTGCTCATATAATGCCAGTTGTTTGATAAAGGAATACAGTTAATAATAGCTTAATGCTACAGTACAAGAAAACAATTGACGAGGAATCAGTTTTCGATCACGTTATATCATCATCATACATGTTTTATCTCTGCATAGTTTGTTTATATGCTTACATTGTGAAGCTAAAAAAAATTGAAATACACACTCAGAAATTGAACAAGAACAAGTATCTGTCAGTTGATTTTTGACAGATTTGTTTTTGTTCTAACCATAAAATCATGTTCACAAAATTTTTTATCTTAAGTAATTTTGCTTCTCAAGTAAATGTATCATAATCTTTTAAATATTTACACCAGAAAACAAGACAAAACTACTGAAAAGAACATCACTTTTTTTCCCAGTGTGATCGGAAGGTAGTTATCCAATATTTATCCATATTCTAGTGTATGCGAGCAGAGCTATTCAAACTTTAAGTTATAAATAATAATTAAAAAGTAATTGAGATCTGTTGGAAATTGTATTTTCAAACTTTGAAGTGCTGCTAATACAACTCATTGTGTTCTTCCTAGACATTTACATTTAGAGAACATATTGATTTTCCTTAATTGGTTTAAAAGGTCTTAAATGCATGTTTATAAAGCCTACAGAAACCCTGAAGATGCAGAATGTCTCTTTAATACTCTTGTATGTTCGTATTAATCATGCATACTATTGCACACATCATGCAAATACAAATCAGTTATATATTTATTGCAATTCCATGTTCATTTGAACACTTCCAGGAATGTATATCCTACATTCTGACCATACATACAAGAGAAAAGCCATTGCTGCATACTCATTAAGCTGGTCATGTACACAACTTTCATACATATTTGAGAAAGAAAGATCAGACATGAGTCAATCCTGAATCCGAGCGTATTAGTGTGTACAGTATGTGGGAGGGGGAAGGTATATTAAAGGAATATTCTGGGTTTTCAACATATTGATGTATTTTAAACGTCCCTCATTGTTTGGAAATGTTTTGGGAACATTTCAGTTAACTTTAAAGCTGCAGTCCGTAGCTTTTTTGGGGGTTAAAAATGATCCAAAATACATATTTGATAAAATACATAACCAGCCAGTGTTCAAAACTATCTGCTTGGCTTAACTCGATTTAAAACAGTAAGCTTGTAATAATGTTTTTAATTCCAGTGGTACTGGTGGATTTCAGCGGGAGATTCGAGCATGTCTTTGCGTCATTATGTCACATCTGTACACATAAAGGAGGAGTCTCGCTAGTAGGCTATATTGCATGTGAGGATGCTGGAGGTGGAGATTTATAGCCTTTTCTTAACACTTGATATAATTAAACTTAGCAATTTGATGGCGGATCCAGAAAGGTTAAAACAACAATCACCAGTGACAACAGATTCACCCGATGTAAAATGCAAAAGACTTCGTTCGGACTTTGGATTGGCTACAGAAAAAAAAAAACTACAACTTTTACAGTCTATGACTGCAACCGGACCCATGGGAAAACAAGGATACATGTCGGAAGGACATTACATGTAGTCACGCAATGCTGAGGTTATTAAAATTTACAATTTGAGAACAAAGTTTAGTTTTCACGGTTTTGCGTGATATGATAACTTATAAGTAATTGTTAGATTTAATCGGCGCAATTTACTGCAATGTTATTTACTGCAATGTAATTTTCCAATGAAAATTCTTATGTTGGTCATACTTCCAAAAAGAATAATCTGTGATTCTGAATGCCAGTATCCACACCAGCGGTGATGACAGCCTCACAGTCTCAAACATTGTGTTCATCCACGCTGTGTTGTCGAACTACAACTCACGTCCGCGAATGATTGCAAATTGCAAATTTCAAACAGAGATGGCGACAAAGAGGAAAAACTCCGGACTGCAGCATTAAATTAACATTTTTAATTTTTTTATATTGCTGTATAGCGTATTAATAATACATTAAAGTTGGCGTGAAATAAAAATTCACCCTATATGTTTTATTATTAAAGTTATTCTGAACGGTTCATCCATGCATTTTCTTTTTTAAGTTATTTTTTAGGGGCTTTTTGCCTTCATTTAGATAGGAGAAGAGACGGGAAATCATGGGAGGGAAGGGAGAGGAATTGGACCGGGAAAGAACCTTGAGTCTGGACTCGAACTCGGGTCGGCGAAGTGCAACCGCAATATATGTGAGAGCACTTAATTGCCTATATGGCTATGGCTAAATAACATGTCATAACTCAATCTTCTCCAATCATTTCATCAGCATTTATTACAATCAACGCAAGCTCCATCCAGTCTACAACTGATGGCTTGAACCAAGACCCAGACCCTGGCTTTCTAGCGTTCTGAACCCTGCTTTTAACCCTGGGGTTAGCACCGCTTTTTAACTGTGGTTATTAAACCCTGCTCTGGAGTAGTATGAAATAATGTGAAGTTAGAATGTTATGGCAACATACACCCAATTGTGAGTGTCATATTCACCTGCGTTGGTCAATCACGGACACAGCGCATTGTTTCAGCGTTTGAGAGGGAAAATGAAAAATGGTGATGGTAAACGGATGAATTGGAGTGAAGAAACAACAGTTTTATTCTTATCTTTATAGTGAGGAAAGTTTATTCAGGAAAATCAGGGCTGTATATAATTTGAGGATGCAGTATGCTAAGACATTATTTAAAGTGTCATTTTTCATATCCCCCCAGGTTGAAAACCCCAGAATATTCTTTTAAAGTGGATGGCTTGTTGTGAGAGAACAAGAATGATCTGCAGAATGACCTTTCTGTGGCCTTGGTATAATGCTAATGTTAAACTCACGTCTCCTTGCACATCGACTTTGAGTGCACTCCGAGCACTGTGTTCTGCATGACCTTTCTAAGAGGGTCAGGACACCCCACATACCCCCACTGTGTCTGTGTGGTGTTAGCGTTGCCTTTCTTGTCTGGCCATCCCTCAGGTTACGGGCTGGTGCAGGAGGAGCTGCTCTCCCCCGCTTCTATGCAGTACAGCCTACCCTCCCCGCTCGGCACGGAGCCCTACTGGCAGGAGGTGTCAAGCCTGGAGTGTGCGCCCATAGCCACCACTGAGGAGGACACCATGATGGAGATGTCGGATGTACAGGTGTGGCCGGCGGGGGTCAGTCCGTCCCTGGTGACTGTGGAGGACTCATCCCTGGACGGCAGCAGCCGTGCAGACGACTCCGAGGCCAACACGTTGAGCCTGCCCTGCAGTAGTTTGGGGAGGCCCAGCAGCGGAGCCAGCGGGGCCAGCGGCTCCATCATGGAGCTGGAAGAGGAGGAGGAGGAAGAGGAGCTTGAGGAAGATGACGTACAGCACGAGCCAGTGTCCGCAAGTGCGGAAAAGGCACGGGCTAGCGGCGCCGTCCCAAAGGCTAACAACGGGCAGGCTGGAGGTCAGAGGTCGGAGGGCAAGAGGACAGAGTGGGCGGCAGGCGGCAGTGTGATGGGTGTAACTAGAGGAGGAGGAAAGGGTGGAAAAGGGGCAAGTTCAGAGGAAAAGTTTTCTGTTCTTACAGGGCAACAGCTCTACGCTCAGTTATGCGAGAGAACTGGACTGACCCGAGCGCTAGAACACAACGGGGACAGGTATGGATTACTTTAGTATCCCTTTTTACTCCACAAGTATATTAAGGGCACACCAATAATGCTAACTGTGTTGGCATCCACAAAAACACAAAACAACGCTTTAAATGCTCAAGTTGTTTAAACTCGGGTGGATTCTGATTGGCTGTAAATGTTTTTGAAAAAAATCGTTCTGAAAGTGATGCCAACAATATCGTTCCTCTGTGTCATTATCGTTATAGTTGTGATGTTGACTTCCTTATTCCCATAGAATTACTCGATATCCAACTCATTCTCATCCCAAGGCGTCATCTAACTGACACTTTTGACCATGCGTCAACATCCGACGCTTTAGGCACCCTTTAGCGTCAGTTAGATGACGCGGGTAGGTTTAGGTCTGGGGTAGGGTTAGGGTTAGACCATTATGATAGCATCATATAACTGACACTACTAAAGGGTGCCTAAAGCGTCGGATGTTGACGCATGGTCAAAAGACGCCTTGGGATGAGAATGGGCTGCGATATCAGCCATGGATCTTAAATCTGATGATTTGTAAAGGCCTAATAGTACCTAATTCGATGATGTTGAGTTAGAAAATATAAATAAAAACTTTAAATCCTTTATATTTTTTTTTTTTCACAAAATAAGAATGAATGTTTTTCAATAGCCATCAAATGTCAAACATTTTTTTTGATTTAACTTATAATCTTTAAAGGAGTGGACAAATATATTAGTAAATACTCCAGTTAATATTAAGGAAAATTTCATAAACATCATTTCTTTCACAAAATCTGTATTTTTTCGCACGATTTTCTGTCGCTGTTTGGATGTGGTTAACACCCAGAGATGTAGCAGAAAACCTCAGGGTCATGTTTGCATTTTCTTCTATCACTGGCCATAATTTTAACCTTGAAATCATGATTAGGCATTAAATAATGTCATGCATGTAAAAAAAAAATCGGCTGAGAATTTAGTTCTTCCTTGGCTCAGATAAAGATGAACCCATGTCTTGAGAAACATGTCTTTCTGGCTGTTTTTTTTCCCGGTGATTAAAGAATAATAAACGTCTTCTTGAGCTAACAAAATGCTTGTTGAAAGCAAACATGCCGCGAAATGCACTTTATATTTTGTGAGAAGGTTTGAGTTCCTAGAGCAAAACAGGCACTATTTTTGGGATCAGCACTCCAAAATTAGTTAGAAAACAAGTATTGGATTTCATTCAGCAAATATGATGCAGGGTGGTGTTATTAACATTTTAACGTTATCCACAAGTTTCCTACGCCCCATGAGGCCTTGCGTCAAAAGTGGGCGCGACTTCCGGTAGGAAGTAAACAAAGCGCGATTTGACATGCTTGACACTCGTTCATTCAACAGTTGACAGTCATTCAAGTTATAGCGATCCAAACTAGCTAACGATGTGGGAACACAACCTCAACGAAATTCAAAAGGGTGAAATAACAGTACCTTTACCCTCCGCAGTAGTTGATTGGGAGTATTATAATAACATTATTAATAATCAATACTCATCAAGGCATGGTGGCAGACAGTTGTGCGAGCTGACAAACAATTAAAATAAAAATACACACTTAGTCATTGTGCTTTGGAGTTTATTCAAAATTATAAATGAATGTGCTACTGGAATAAAGATTAACTGGCACATTTGGTATTCTGTCAACACAGGCTTTGATCCTGAGTTTAGGTGTAACATCAGTAGCGAACAGCCAATCACATGCTGATAGAGTTTATAGAATATTAAGAATTTAAACAAATGTACACAGAAAGATTCGTCGTCTTTTGGGAGGTGATGGAAACTACAGTCGTTGGCAGGATCACTCTGATTTCGTTTTCAGCTTATGTTCAAAACAATCACGTTTAAGCCACTGAACTAGTTTAGTCCGGTTATACATACAACCGCGAACAGCACATGTTGTCCCTGAGCTCCGTAACGACATCTCTCATAAAGATTTGCGTCTTTAAATAGTAAAATAATTCTCCGAAAAACAGCTAGCCTCTTCGCTAACTAACACACAAAATACCATTGGAATGCTACTTCCGCCGCGTCACCGGAAGTTTCACCCACTTTATTTTTTACAGGAGCGCCCCTCGGAAACTTGTGGATAGATATCAAGTTTTTGGTGTGAATGGCCCTTTAGACGGATAGCATTTACTCCATCTTTTTCTTTCCCTCCTCCGCAGGCTCGGGGGCGGCGCCTTCCAGCCTTACTCGCAGGAGAAAGACCCCCTCCAAAGCTGGTCTCAACCCAAAGCCAGGCCGACCATGGAGGCCATGATGTCATCGTCCCAGGACCACAATCAGTCCCGTGTAGCACAGGAGGCCCTGCTTACACCGGTATGTGATACAGGCCATTCGGAGGTCCTGCGGGGGCGTCTGCTGGGCACTCAGCCCTTTGATAAAGGGCTGGGCTTCTCCCGTCATGAGGGGGATTTACGGGCATGGGACCAGGACAGGCGGAAGGCACAGGTGTGTGTCCTGGGCCTGTCCAGTCTGAGCAAAGAGCATGTTGTCGGACACAGTCTTGACTTCCATTAGTCAATTATGATATTTTAACTATTATTCCCTCCTTGCAGAAAGATGATCCGATAGAGATTACCAGTGATCATCTACTTGAAGAGCAGTTCACTGATGAGCATGGGAATGTCGTGACCAAGGTGGGTCCTCAGTTTTCTTTTAATGTTTATAATAGTATTGAAGCCAATATATTGATTGATCTGGCTGATTATATTTCACCTTTTTGAGATTATCCTCACAAATTTTGATGGGTAGTGTAGTTTCTGTTTTCTAATATTTCATATATTATTTTAATAATTGTTTAACTTGTTCCTTTTTTGTCTACAACTACAGTATTTCTATATACACTTCCTTTCAAAAGTGTTGGACTGTTTTGTAATGTTTTTTTAAAATAAGGCTGCATTTATTTGATCAAAAACACAGTAAAATCAGTATTATTGTGGAATATTTTATTACAATTTAAAATAACTGATATATGAATCGAATTTTGAATTTATTTTAAAATGTCATTTATTCCTGTGTTTGCAAAGCTCAATTTTCAGCATCATTACTTCCGTCTTCAGAGTCACATGATCAGAAATATGCTGATTTGCTGCTCAAGAAACATTTCTTGTTACTATCAAAGTTATTAAAATTGTATTTTTGGTGGAAACTGGTACATTTTATCAGGATTATTCGATGAATATAAAGTTTAAAAAACAGCATTATTTTAAATTTAATTGTTTTATAATATTATAAATCACTACTTACACTTATGATGAAGAATGATGGATGTATATTTCTTTACAAAATTTGCAGTAAATTTTTAGGTTATTTTACGAGACATTTCTTTCAGTATGTCTATATTTTTATTGGCTTTTGGCTGTCCTGTAGTGGTGGCTTTTGGCTTTTGAACCCATTCGCCAAGATTTGCTCAGATTCGTTTAATGTTTTGTTCAGTTGCTCCTTGTGTAGGTTACACTGTTACGCCAGTAGGTGTATGTTTAGTCTTTATTAAGATTTTCTTGTCTACAAATATTTTAACAAAGGTGTAAAGAGTACCAGAAAACCATAGTTGACTAAAAGTAGAGATATCTCTAAGTTAAAAGTTACAAGTCGCCAATTCCAATATGACTCAAGTAAAAGTCTTAGAAAGTGTCAGATTTTAACAGAACACAAGAATTTTACTTATACTGAAAGTGGGCTCAAGACAATGAGACATGCCAGGGAAAACAAGAAACAGTTTATTTGTGAGGATATCTAAGGTCATGAAATTTGTTCAAACTCAATTTGGTTACATTTTTTTCTCCCTCCTTTTCTCCAGTTGGGTGTGGATGTGAAGAGGGATGTCCAGACTGTGAAGCGCTCCAGTCTGCGGAGATTAAAGCACTGAAATAAACACAAAATGTCCTGAAGGTACGGGACAGGAATTGGTACATTTACATAAGGAACAACTTAAAACCCATGGGGCAAGCTAGCTTTGCTAAACTTGAACGATACAGACATCAGTTTTATGTTTTAGCTAGAGTGACTTTGCTTCAGACAATGGAGCTATTTGTTCATGAAGGATTGCTCTTCCAGGGTCGAACATCCACTGCCAAACCAACCATCCTTCACCTACACACGAGTGGGAGACATGGAGCGATGAAAAAAAAAAAAAACAGCAAAAGAACAACACATCGCACCCAAGTCCTACAGTCAAGCAACCACGGAGTGTCACTGGAAAACAAGGACGAGGCGTTCTCTACCTGTAGTTTTGTAACATTTTTAACAGAAGAAGATCATACAACTAGCATAGGGCATGAACTTTTTATACAAAAAACATGAAGAAAACCACCAAAAAAAGCAACAAAAAGTGCTTCCTGTCAACTGTAAACGCATGACTGACTGCTGGTGCATGACCTATGAGCTGTCATTATCTAAAAAACTGAAGGGGTACAAGGTAAAGGGCCGTTCCAGGACTGGCAGTGGGAAGGGGGAAACACTTGGACCTTTGAAAATGAGAGACTCTTGGGGTTTTGGGAACACAACAGCCCAAAAAAAAAAAAAAAAAAGCAACAGTTCTTTATTTTGTCAAACAGATTGTCATTACACAGCAGCATAGTGTATGCTAAGCCCGTCACGTCATTTCCCACAGGCCCTTTATCCTGTTCTTCAATGTGATATATGCACTCTAATGCTATGTGAATGTGCGTCGGTGTGTGTGCGTGTGTGTGTCGGTATCTAACGCATGTGTACTCGCTTCTGGCTTGGTACTGAGCTGTTTTTTTCCGGATCGGTCAGAGCTCATTTGGTGTTTGCCATGGGAATGACAACAAGCCACTGTGCTCTCCTACTCGTGAGCGTCCGCGTGTGTTTATTTCCACTTTGTTAAGCGTATCCGTGTTCCTTTAACCAGCCACCTTTTACTTTTAAATCTCGTTTTAAATTCAAATCCGAAACCTATTCGTTTGTTGGAGGTTGCGTAGCTTTGTATGTACAACCCCCAAATGGCAACCTATGGAGGGCACGTGCTTTCTCTGCCTGACAGTTCACAACTTTAACCTCCGACCTACTGACCATCCATTCGCCCTCATGTGTAGCTCAGCTGCTCAACTAAAACCGTCACAGCAGACCATTTCCAGAGACTAATGTAGCATTGCATGCAGGCTAACACCGCTTTTCATGCTGTTCTCTCGGGCCCGCACTCGGCCCGGACATTTTTATTGATTTTATATTATTAATCAAGCTGTGCTGGTGAAAAAAATACAAAACAAAAAAAACTCGATTGTAGCTGTGACATGTGGGGCTTGGGGACTATCTCTGAGTAACTGCCTTTGTAATGTTTGGGATTTCAGATTGAGTTATGCGACAAGGAAGCGTTTTAAACTTTGATGATGCTTTTCGATTTATTCGTTTTGTTTGTATGTTTTGTTTTGTTTTTTCATTTAGATGTACAGTTAAAAATAGACCGATAAATATACAGACAGCACTGTGAAAGTCCACCTTAAAATTGACCCCTGAACTGTGAACTCACAACTGTCTGTCTCACTTTTTTGGCTTCTGATGTCTCACAACACACACCAACAAGGTTTTATTGTAACAATGGGAAGCTTAAACTGCAACTTCATGTTACCGGTTCCCTATTACCGTCATTCGCATGTGCATTTTCACCGTAATTCTTTTTTTATTTTACTATGAAAGAGCCCAAACATACACAAAAACTCTTGAAGTATAGTCTACCAAAGCAATAATATCAAACGTGCTGCAACAGTTGGAATACTGCGTTGTCGTCGGTGTGCGTGCGCGTGTGTTTTTCGGTCTTCGAGCGCCTGTGTGTTCAGTGTATACTCTATTAACCCGACATTTTAGTAGCATTTGTAAGACGTATACGATTCAAGAGATATAACAGCATGCATGAGTATCTCACACCGTATGCAATTACGTGATCTACATGCCAACTCGAGTTCACTGAACGGTAGCGGTTTCACTTTAATGGACAAGGTTTTATTGAACGGCTGGCAAGCATAATGAAATCAGGTATGGTGCTCAGCATTTAATCACAGCACAGTAGCTTACATAGTCACGAGCACACCGTGATATACTGACTCATGTAGTTTAATTCGATGGATGTCAATGAGTGAGTGAGCGAGTGAGTGGATGAATGAACTTATCCTCCAAACTACAAACAAATATTTATGGAATGCATGGACTATTGGACGAATGACAATGATTGTACTTTCATATTTAAGAAAAGTGTTTAATCAGATCCTAGTGTTTTTGTTTAGTCAATGAAATGAGTGTGCTTTGTGAGACTGCACACTTCCCTTCTCACCAACGCATTAAAACACTTATGAGTTCTGCCTCACTCACTGTATATTGTTTTCTACTGTTCACTCAGGTTTGTGTTGACAGATGGTTTCTCTTCCATGATTCTTAACAGTAAATCCTGTGTCCACTCAAGGAGTGTAAGGATTATCATGGGTGTTGGGAAGTGCGTAATGAAGGACATAGATATACCTGTTCAATATCTTGTCGCTGCTGTAAATGTTGACCAAGACAAAATTCCTGAAAACAAAGGGGGTAACGGAAGAGAATGGTTCATTCATTTATTTTTGGTTTAAGGAACAACACGATTTGACATTGCAATCATTATGTATTAAAAAAGAGTTTATGTACAATGTTTAACTGTTGCAAAAATCTAGACTTCACCTATACTCCTTTAGAATGGATTAATGACATTATAAACGCAATATCATATTACTCTGTACTAAGGAATGCAACTGCGCACATGCACAGAAAAAGATGTTTTTAATAAAGAATATATGTATAAATATATGACGAATTATATTTAATTAGAATGCTATGCACCCTTATTAGAGTTGTTATGGCTGTACTTTAAGTAAATTAGTTAGAATCCAGTAATACGAACATGCCCGTGTCATGGGGAATGTAGAGGCTTTGTTGCTATTTAAACATGTTTTCATTTCCTTTTTTTTATTTTTTTATTATTATTGTAACGGAGAGAGGAAATACGAACATTGAATATGTACACAAGCCTTTTATTCAGAATCATTCTAATATGAAGAAATGTATAGACCATTTATCCTGCACACCAGCTCAGATCATTTACAAAAGTTAATAAAGAAAGATGTGACATATTGTGACACTGTGTGCGTATGTAAGAGAATTTGCCAAATATTTTTGGTGTATACAAATGTAGTTTTAACTTCAAAGGATGAATGAATAGAATTAAAGGATGGAATATGTAAACTTATTTTCACCTCCATCGATTGAATTGTTACCACAGTCACACAAAAAAATATTATTGTTGACAAAATTTGTTATTTAGCTTATTATATGCTAAATGAATGCAGTAGCTTAGGATATCTGAAGGGTTTTTAAAATCAGATGTAAGACCTGCACAAATAAATAGCATGAACGAGGTAGGACATTGTCGATTATGTCCAAACCATTAAAATGACTGTAAAAACGAATAATTCAACAGCTTTATAGTTCAAATTATACGTTCTGACAAAAACAAAAAGTTTTATAAACTACTAAACCTCATTAATCCATTAACATTTTAAGCAGTCATTGACTAAATGCATAAACAGATCAAAGCAATCGCTTGCATGGCGTTTTGGTAACGTTATTCATTGTGAATTGCTCTGAAACCGTGAGACCTGTAGAACGAACACGTGCTTTTACTTTGAAACAGCTCGTTTAATCATTACCTTTTGATGACGATTAATCGCTTTACCTCTTAAAATGATAATTAAGCCTTTTCTTATACCCTTAAGATAATTCATACTTTTCATGGCGCATGAATTTAAAAGGATAGTTCACCCCAAAATGAAAAATTTGTCAATATTTACTCACCCTCGTGTTGTTCCAAACCTGTAAGTTATGAGTTTATTTGTTCTGTTGAACACAAAAGAAGATATTTTGAAGAATGTTGGTAGTCAAACAGTTGACGGTAGGCCTAACCATTCCATAGTAGGAAAAAACAATGGAAGTCAATGGGTCTGGTTACCAACATCAAAATATATATATATATATATATTTTTTTTTTGCGTTCAGCGATAGAAGAAAAACGAATAGGTTTGGAACAACATGAGGGAGAGTAAATGATGACAAAAAATCTGCAGGTAGCCTACCCCAATTTGTTATTCTGATGCTGTCGTCTTAAAATAAAGGATCAGATATACTGATAAAGAGAAAATCAATCTATCTAGCGAATGTCTTGACAACCGCATTCTAGTGATCACCTCTGATTGATTTCAAATGTTGCAATTAAAAAAAAAAAACAATGAATGAAGTAGTTTTTTTTATCGGTATAACGGAAACAGCTCCTGTAAAAATCTGAAAAACTACACTTCCCATCGCTCTTTTGCAGTACTTACGCATACCAGTGGGGGCGCCGTTGTATCAATTCTCCGTTTTAAATAGCCCTTTCCTGCTCATGTTTTGTTGAGTGCGTGGTGTTGTGAGTGCATGAGGGAGTGAGAGAGAAAACGTGGTCGCGGATAAGCCTAGCATTTAGCTAGTTTGCGAGTGTGAGTGTGTGAATGAAGTGTAATACAGGCTCAGATATTTAGTAGTATTTATTTTTGTATGTAGTCAAGTTTGCCACAAACGGACAAGGTAAATAATTAGAGAAAATAACTTGACGGTAAACTGCTGCTAACATATATTAATATGTCCCAGTAAAATGTGTTCTAACTTGTATTATTCATTTACTTTAAGGTGCAAAGACACTATTTGATAAAGGCAGCTGGCTGAGTTTGTGGTTGCAATAGTGTTGAAAAAATGTCCATGAGCAGTCAGAAGACCACCACCAGTCAGGCAATTCCGACCACCAGACGAGTCATAATCAACGATGCGGCCCATATGCCTCATGATTACTCTACAACTCCCGGAGGGACCCTTTTTAGCACGACTCCTGGAGGTAAATTACACGAATTTGCAGTTTGGAAGCGTTCGTAGCTGTCGCAGTGCAGGCATTGTTTTTGTTTTGATCGCGACATAGCGATGCATCTCGGAGCTCGCGCACCGCTCGCATTGTCTTTGTGCTTGACAGACTGCGGTGCGCGTGCTCACAATGCTTCAGCTTGTTTGTCTTGTATTGTTTGCCTTTTAACTGTAGCCGTGAACAGGTAATAAATGCTGGAATGTTAGCGTCACGATAAGAAAAACATTGTTTTATTGACTAGACTGCATCGTGCATTTGTCTTTGCAAAACAATGTTCTGCAGGTTTGCTAAGACATTAGAATTGCAGAAATATTGGTATTAATATGTTGAAATATAAAATTTTGAACGTAGAAACACGGGTTGATTAATTTTAAATATCAATTTAAAAAATTATAAATTGTGGAAAGGGACAATTATTAAATAACCTCCTTATTTGAAATTTTGTCAAATTAAACCGTTTCATTTCTGAGTAAACATCATGGCCTTGAACGACCTTCAAGTGGATTTTGGATATGCTGACATGGGGTTTGGGGCTTTTAAAAGCTGAAGATTTAAACCCATGTTCTATAATGTCTATATGTGTATATATGTTTGTTTGTTTTTACTTGACAGAGATTGAGATTTAGTAAACAGCCCACAAATGACGATGTGACAGCACCCGAAGCATGTGACTTTGTTGGTTTCCCAATGTACACCACACTTCTGCTTTTCTAGCTCATAAGGGCAAATGTTCTTATTATTGTAAACAGTGTATCAATAGCTGCTTGTTTGTCCAGATCATCATTTCAGCTATGATGTAACTCTCTATACATCATGGGACAAATTTGGTGTGTGTTATATTGCCCTGAGGAATTTTTGTCATGTGACTTTTATTGGCTAAATAGTGTCATGTTTATCACTTGTGTTTTCATTGGTGTACAAGCTTCTGTACACCATGTTTCTGGGTGCTGCTGTAATGCACTCTTTTGCGCTACCTCACTGAGTGAATGTAGTTCAAGGATATTTGTGTGTGTGTGAAGGTTCACAGTGGGTTCAACAGGACTGATATGAGTAGAGCTGATAGTGTGTTCTCACTGCTCCATTTTTTAGCCTGTTGTGTTCTGCTTTTCTCCTAACACTTCTGATTAGAACAAAATGTGAGAAAGCAGTTTGTCAAACATTGATGCTTTACAAAGCTCAACCCTTTAATGACGTAACTGTTGAATGTTGTAAAATGCACCGTCATAGGGACATGTTTAGACATGCTGGGATTGAATGCTGCTCGCAACATTATAATGGCACCGCCCAAACGCTCCTGGCTGGCCTCCATGTTTTCACAGGCTTGTCGGTCAACTCTGCTCTTGTACCATGATATAAGACCATTGTTTCCTTAACAACCTCAGCTGTATTTTATTTGATTACTAAATTATATAGGCACCCGGATCATCTATGATCGAAAGTTCCTGCTGGAGTGTCGCAGCTCCCCGTTGGCCCGCACACCGCCCTGCTGCCTTCCCGACATTCCGGGGGTGACCAGTCCTCCTTCGGTCTCCATTAAAAACGACAAGGCCCACCCCAAACAGACGGTCAATAATAACAGCATCAGCCCCCTAGCGGACAAGAGCGCAGGTAAAAGCAACTTTCAAATGTGCACTGAAGCTAAAAGTTATTAAACCTGTGAACACTGACATAAATGATAATATGAAGAGAGAAATAAGTGAAATGGAGCTTTTTTTTTTTAACCTTTAGACCGTCTTTAAGAAAAACATTTGCGTACATGATTTTTGTTGAGTTTCTTATTTGATACATCCGGCTTTAATGGCTCGTATAGTGTGATAAATGAAAATATGGACCTCATATTTCAAGTTCCGTTCAGAAGCCCAAACTGCAAAATGTAATTTTGTGTTATTGCTGTTGTTTGTATTCTCAAAAAGTGCGATGAAATTCTGATAGCTTGTAATGTAAATCGATGCGCTCTTTATTACATTATAGCAAACGGCTTACATAAGGTGCATTTAAATATCTTCCAATATGATTTTGTGATTTTAAATGCATAGCTTTATGATCAAAGCTGTAGTTTGTATTTTGAAGGGCAAAACATATAATGCCTTGCCAAACTATACAATGATAATACAGAAATTGTTCAGTTGTTTAAATATTCCAAATTCATAATTTAATTTTAACATGACTTTTCAAAAAACAGAAACAAAAGATAATTAAGTAAACCTAAGTTTCTTTAGTCCAGTAAGTGTTCATTTTGAAATAGTATGAACAATATAAAAGTTATTCTTCTGTTTACTTCATAAAAATCTTTAAAGATTTCACAGCAAAAAAAAGATGTGTACCACAGCCTAAAGGTGAAGTTTTATTACTATAGACCATTTCACAAGATGTAAACAACACTGGTCCAGAAGCACTTCCTGTTTCAGTTTGTAACTGTTTTCTTTATTTCACATGTAAAGAAAACATCTTAAAGATGTTTGTTTAACTTTTTGATTCAGTTTTAAATGTTCTGTTGGTTGTATTTTATCCCAGCTTTTATGTAGTGTTAAAAATCTGAAACAGGAAGTGCTTCTGGACCAGTGTTGTTTACATCTTGTGAAATGGTCTATACTACAAGGCATTTTGCTTTCTAAAAAAGTAATCACATGTGAAATCACATATGTTCAATAAATATGAATTTTGTTCTGTGGTTTCAAGGGGAGGATGCCCAGTTTGAAATGGATATCTAACTACAATAGAGGACCTGCCACACGAAGGAGGCGACGACTGTAATGAATATTACTGTGATGACAACGGTTCCCTGAGAGGATAAATGCACAGAAGACTTCTCCTTCCATATCATGTCTTTCTTTTTCTTTCATTTATCTACTGTCCAAATGACATTTTCCTTTTCTGTATGGATGCTGTTGCTCCAGACACGCACAAAGCCTTTACTTTAGATTCTCAACATCAGCTAACACTGTTGTGCCTGAAAGAGCCACTATCTCAGAAGTCAGATAGTGCATCCCAAGCGCTATACATCTGCCTAAGATATGAGGGACATCCAACTGGCCGCCATGTGACATTGTTTATTTGATACAGATTTGTTTGTGCAGTTTTGCAGAATGATCAGTAGGGGGAGCAACAGTCTCAACTAAAGTCATGTGGAGGTAAATCCAGATTGCCAAACTCCTATAAATTTAGCATACCACAATACTTTCCATCTGGCATTGGTACTTTTTGTAATGGTAAAATCTAATTTGTGTTTATCCTGAAGATAAATTCGTATTCTCACCTAAAGTGTCATTTAACAGAATGTAAAATGCCTTTTTTGTTTTTGTTTTGGGCTGTGGAGTTATCTTAACTTCCCTGATTATACTGAAGAGACATTTAAGCATAAAAAAAAAATCAATAAACACCAGAGAATTTACGTGCGTTTTGCTTATTCATTTGCTGCTGCTGATTTTCAAACACATAGCACTCAATGCATAACCATTATGAAAACATTTTATTACATTTGCTAATTTACATACTCTACTATTTACAAACTAGGTAAACACACAAAGCTTTCAAAAAGTAATCCAGGTGCCTTGATTATTTCAAGTGAAAATACTGTACAAATGAAAACAATTTAGATTTGTGCTTAAATATGTTTTTTGTCCGGGTTTGAGGAGCATATCCAAAGTGCTAGTGTTGAGTTCATTTGGGATTTGGAGACTCAGTGGCAGCCACATTCTGCTACAACCATCCCTTCATGGTGTCTCATGACCATCTTGCCGTTCTCATAGTAGAGCATGGAGAGAGGAGCCAGACGGGTGGGTACGCAGGACAAGCATGGGACGCGGTCTGAGTGGTGCAGCTTCAAAAGACTCTGCAAATGACAAGACAACAAACGTTAGTCAGTCTGGCAAACAGAAAACTTTTTAAAGTAATAATCACATCTATATCAAAGGTTTAAAAAGATTTGTACCTGCATGTAGGCATGGTTGGTTGGAGTAAAGGTCTCGTCAACGGGTGTAGGGCAGTTACCTTCACATCGAAAGGCATTGTAGCGCTTTGGATAAACGATCCAGTCGCTCCAGCCTATCTTATCAAAGTCCACCCACATGTCTACCTTCTTGCAGAGAGGTTTCTTCTCCCCTTCTTGCGAAACACCTGGATTCATGCTAGCTGCTGCGTCTCGCACTCTGTCGCCAGCCCTGTGGTTCCTCCTGTGCCGCCGGGGCACAGGTTCACTTCCACCACCGGTCCGGTCTAGAGCGACATACTTTGAGTGCTCCGCAGTCTGGATGAGGGTGGACGTCTTTGCCTGGTTCTGCTTGGAGTAAACCACCATCATGACCCTGTTGGCTGTAAGATGCTGGAAACTCTGGTGCCCCTCTTTCTCAGCACTTGAAGACATCTGGACGGGTTCCTCCCAGGAAACGCTCTCACCCTGGTGCAACCAGTACTTGAGGAGTGCTGTGATGTTGAAGATCCTCCAGGAGGAATGGGAGGTTTGGTCACTTGGGTTGGCTTTCACACTGCCCAGGTGAAGGCGTACTTCGTCACAGGGGCTTCGTTCACACTCTTGCTTGGATTCATGATAGATATCCACCGCAATCTCAGAGGTGAATTCTGGAAGGCGAATGCGAAGTTCAGACCGCCGGACGTCGTCGCTTGCTGATATGGAGGACATGTCAAATGTCACGGCTAATTTGTCACCAACCTGATGGCAACCTGAAAAATATTTGGACAAGAAATTAGTTACCAGTCGAGGGACAGTTAGTTAAACAGTCTAGAAAGGATAAGTGTGGTGCTTAATTATCTTAAAGGATGTTTTCACACATGGGTATATTCGGGACAAGCAATTAATAAAGCAGAATGTTCTTATTGTTGAGATGTGTATTGCTGCCCAAGCCACTTTGAAACAGACGTCTTGCAGCTAATACACACGCAAACTAATAAACATAGGCTACGTGACTTGGCTATAGCTTAGAACCAGCTAAACTACTACCTATCAAATTATTGTCCCCGGGGGTCTTGTAGGCTATTAACCTGAAGAGATTTGTTTTGCGATAATGACCGGCGGCTAACTTTACATATAGGCTAACTTACACGGCTACTTACGGAATAAATGTGCATATGAAGAGTTCAGATGCAAAAGCCTCAAAATGCCATTTGAAATTTTCTTCTTTAATGATGATTTTTATCAAACTTGTATATTTAAATTCAGTGATTTCAAAAATGGCAATGATAATTACCTAATTGTTATTTAAGTGAAATAACTGAACTTAAATATACAAGTTTGATAAAAATCATCATTAAAGAAATTTCAAATGGCATTTAGAGGCTTTTGCATCTGAACTCTTCATATTTTTTCCCACATTGTTTTATTATTATTATTTTACTGGTATCACACTTGTTCTGTAAGAAGCATTTAAAAAAATTCCGTTTGGCGATACGTAAATGTTTTGATCGCGAATGCAGTACCTGTCGCTATATTTCATCTTTGTTTATAGAAAATTGTTTTTTCAATTTATTATATGTCTGAAACATCTAAAAATTAGGGGAAAATATGGGCATTGACTACCCTATTGAAAAAGCCTAATGTAGGCAACAAAATGTTTCAAATTAATTTAGCCTAAAGATAAAAAAAGAAAAAAAAGAAAAATAAAATGTATTGGCTATACTCACTTTTGGCGAAGAGACTCAAGACCGAATCGGACTCGTAAAGAGCTGGGTTTTCGTGGCTGGTTTGTTTGTCGTCTCCGGTCAGAAAGGTCCGGTAGAGGTGCATCATGTAGAGCGGATACCTGCTGGTGTGTCGGCTCTGACCCGCCTGACCTCCGCCGCTCGTCCCAGGTGCTCGCATCCTATTCCTCAACGCTTCGTGGAATCCGGGAAAGGACACAGTGGAGTTCACCAGCGTGATAACTGCGCTCAGGACCCCGCAGATAAACCACCTCATGTCAAATCTAGCAAGATCCACCACGCAGAGGAATAGCCTGTCTCTGAGATCCTGCTCCTTCACCGTCCCCTGGAAAGTGAGTGTCATGAGTGCTGCCAGGCCATCTTAATTTACTTATAGAAACTTGAAGTCTTTTGATGGTCTGTGAGGTCCTTTGGGCCTTTGAAGTGTCCTTGTGATCCATAAATGTCCCTGGGTCGTCGTGTATCGAAACCAGCAGTCTTTTGTGCGTCAACGGGTGTGAAAACATTAATTCTTCTCCTCAACCGCTGTGTATTGAAGGTCCTTTTGAAAGTGTACTTAAACAATAATATTAGTGGACTACATTTTGTTCATCAATGTCCATTTGATTAAAAGGAGAAAAACACCCCAAATACTGAATTATTTATTAGTTTAAATGAAATAGAGGAAGCAATGTCTCTTTCCATGCTGAAGAACATAGTATGTCATTGGGAATTTAGTGTGGCCAAAATAGCCTATAGGCAATCTTTTAGATAGGCTATCTTTTTATATAGGTAGCTATATGGTATTTATAAATTATTATTATTATTATTATTTTTTGTAGCCTATTCATAGACATTATTCATATTCGTAACGTTATAGCCATACCATATGACCAAAGAAATGTTAAATGCATTACCAAAAGAAATCTGACTGAACCGAATATTTCCTGCCAATATTTGATAACCAGCCGAATGTTTGATAAGCACCATAGAACCCCACAGACAATTCTTTCTTTCTTTCTTTCTTTCTTTCTTTCTTTCTTTCTTTCTTTCTTTCTTTCTTCTTTCTTTCTTTCTTTCTTTCTTTCTTTCTTTCTTTCTTTCTGTCTTTCTTTCCAGATGTATTAAATCATCTTATACAACAGGGGGCGCTACCTTCAAAGTCTTTTTCTACCTTCCTTGACTTTCGAAAATGATTTGCCAAATCGTTAACAAAGTGATAAAGCTCAAAGATTTTCTCTGTAGGGTACTAAAATATCGACTGTTCATCCTTGCGTCACTAATTTCTCCTGACACTGCCCGTGTGATTTGTTGACAAGCTTTGTGCTAATTCTGAGCGCTCAGGTGAGATTCATATGACGACACACACACACACACACACACACACACACACACACACACACACACATTATTTTTCGTCACAGAATTGAAGCAGACCAGCTGTGAATGTCAGTGGCAATCTCACACATTGTAACACTGATAATAAGCACGACAGAAATTGGCACTGGGCCTTCCTCCCACATATTTAGCCATTTGATGCTAATAAGTGTCAGATCGCATAGCATTGCAAATTTTGTGAAATTGTGGTTAATTTTTGTGTATCGTGTGTCTTAATATCATCTGTCTTTCTGTCTGTCTGTCTGTCTGTCTGTATATAGCTTTCTAGCATGCTCTTTTTTTGCCATGCATTTGAACCATAATAATCCATCCATCCATATCTGTCTGTCTAGTCGACTATCTCTCTTTTCTGCCTTCTATCTTATCTATCTGTCCGTCCGTCCATCCATTCATCCATCCATCAAGTTTGTCTGTCTTTCTGTCTGCCTGTCTGTCTAAGGTAGCTGTTTAGTGGTCTATTGCTCATTTTTGCCATATATCAAGATCAATATGTTTGCTATTGATTGCTTGTGTACGTGTGGTATAATATGGTAGAACTATTGGTGATGCTGACCTGTTGTGACAGACATGCCTTGCTTTGGGCAGACAGCCTAATTAATCGCCAGAGACCCTGATTGCTGTGAATCGGTTTGCAAAACAGAGACCTCAGGACTCTCCGGTAGGGGAAAAAAGGGAGCATCGAGAAGGAAAACAGAATCAAGCCTTTTGTGTGGCACTGGAAGAAAAGTGCTCACTTGCGTTAGGGATGGCAACAAAAAACAAAAAGGCCATGAAATATGAAAGGGCCTGCCTTTGTGTCATTTGAATAATGGGGATAATTACCCTCTGTCCAGCGAAGCACCTGCATTTGAAATAAGCCTTTGATACCAACTTAAATGCAGTGAGATGGTGCTATTTGATTAAGATTCAGGCAGATGCTGTCTCTGTCTTTACAGCAGCTGGAGAGATCACTCTGTCAACAGACTGACTGCACCTTTGAATGCATATACCATGATAAATAGGTGGTGATGGTTAGTGTAACTAATGCTTTGCTGCAAACACATTTTTTTGGTTTAATAAACTCCTCATTATCAAAGAGCAGATAATATGAGTCTTTATTATTATTATTTACTAATTCTTGCCAGACCTGGCACTTTCAAAGCTGGCTGGATGTCATGCGTCTCACATATCTCAGTATAGGAGATAAACAGATAGTCTTTAAGCACCTTCAAAGCTATCTCTTTTTAATTTGGTTGCACTGCCAGGAATCCATAGATGAATCAGCGTCTCTCATTAAACCTCAGTCCTGACATTGTTCGCTAGGAATGGCTTTTTTTATCAGTCTGATAGCAGAAATTGCAGGGACACGAAAGCACAGAAATAGCTCAGAAAGTATGCTTTTCTTTATACTTTTTGTCCTAGCAACATTGGAGGCAGGACTATATGCTGACAAAGATCATTGTTGTTAGGGACTTGAATCCCACACCACAATGTGCTCCAATACGGACACTTTGATTTCATTTTAACCATGGACAGGTTAATATGACTTCAGGTTCAGAATCCAGAATGATGTTACATGGATCCATACCTTTAACTCTTCCTGAGAAAGCACAAAAGATATTTAAGTTTTCGTTTATTATTATTAGCTAAATTCTAGCTGATTTCCAACCGTTTACAGAATCCACTTTCATGCATCTTTATTGTTGGTGTGGGTCATAGACGATCCTTTATCAATGCTTTTATTAGAAAAGCTGAGTAAATGCTTTTCTTCAGTTTGCACTATTATGGTCAGGAATCTTGTCATTTTCTCTGTATTACAGCCAGCCATGTGCCACTCTGAATCTGCCGGGTAAACATCAAGATTTTCATGGCAGCTGGAATTGACAGAAATAGAGTATTTGCCTCTGGGACAGTTTATTTATTTGATTTTACAAATTTGACCAAAATGCTCACTTCTAAACACTTGCTGCTGCATTTCAGTGCTGTTCCGTGATTCAGAGACTCAAATGAAGTATCATAGATCAAAATGTCCAAACTGTTTTTGGAAAAATTGCCATTGTTGTGAGGATCAAAAATAAATTCTGTTGACTGTATATTAAGAACAGTTTTCTCCTCAGGTTTACATCTAACAGTACTCTCATGAAGGGCAAAGAAAGATTCAGTGGCAACTTAATACAAAGTAAATATTTTACAGATATTGTTTTAAGCGCTTTTATAATCTTTTCTCTCTTTTTTTACTGTATGCATTACTGTTAAAATGTGTGCGGGCAGTAGAAAATGTTAATGGTTTAAAGAGATCTATTATGCTCACCAAGGCTGATAAATTGTTTCAGGATTCTTTGATGAATAGAAAGTTCAAAAGAACAGCATTTATTTGAAATAGAAATGTTTTGTTACAGTGTAAAAGCCTTTACTGTCACTTTTGATTTATTTAATGCATCTTTGTGGATTAAAAGCAAAGTATATTTAAAAAAAACTGACCCCAAACATTTGGCCGGTATTTATGTATGATGAAAATATAGATGAAAATGTATATCTATCTTTATGTTTTAGGAAGGGGGTCTCTTGCAAAAGGGCTCGTCCTAAATTGGGACCTGTGACAATAAAAGGTTTGAAAACCCCTGAACTAGAATTGTCAGCTTTCTCAAAAGATCCCGCAATCTGAAACCGATTGGTCATTTCATAACAGTTAGCTTTGAGTTACAGAAATTGGTGACATGTGTAAACAAAGGTTGCATCCTGTAGATGAAAGTGATTGGGTTATTTTTAAGATCAAAGGCATTTCCTTTCATTTAAAAGGTGTACATCTCCACAAATTGGAACTCTTCTCCAACCTTCCTATGATGTTTTAAATCAAAGATTTCAAAAACCCTTATGTCACGTCCAGACAAATATCTTTAGTCCCAGTGCGTAAATTGAGGTTACTTTTCTGTACTCAAAAAGCGGCATGAATGTTCGGCAGATAACATGGGTTTACTTTCTGAAGGTTGAAGTGTGTTTGTGATGTGTGTGTGCACCACAGAAGTGGGTGATGCATCAGCACAGCGCCTTATCTCTTATTTTGCACCACCACACCGCAGCTTTGGATAGAAATATTTCTACTGTTGAATGTGGGAATAAATATAGAAATAAACATTCTTTTGAGCGGAAGAGGCTTAGGAGATATGAATTAGGCTTTCTTGGATAAACTGTCAGTCTGGTTTATCATGCTGCAGAGCTGTATCCATTTCTCCTTGTCAACAAATTTTGATCTGATTGGCGGTGACAGTCTTAAATTTAGAGTTAAATCCAAGAAAGACTCTTGTCCTCAAGTTGGGCAATGCTTACGTCAAATGCTGAAAATACAACATGTTTGAAAAGCCTGCTGAGAAATGACACAGAAATCTTCATTTAAGATTTTTTTCTGGTTATACAATCTGACTGCGTATTGTTTCCCAAAGGTTTTCCGCTGTCTATTTTTTACTTTTATAATTTGTGGAGGAGACTGTGGAACAGCAATTGAGAAATAATCAAAAAAGAAATACCACTTTGTTGTAATACACTGGCATCCTTTTTTCTGAGAAATTTTAACTTATTTTAATACTAGGTCATTTAAAAATGTTTTACTTTAAAAAGGTCATTTTTGACTACATGATTGCATATTGCAATTGAGAAAAGTATCTTGTTGATAAAGGCAATAGAAAAATAGCATTTATATATTCCTGTCTGTTTTCTTCCAATACACAGGACACATTGCTGCAGCCGATGGAAATGGATAATGTGAATATCTGAAGTTATTTAGTTGGCATTCATTATCATCGTCTGCGATGACATCAATCAGCCGAGGGGCAAGGTAAGAGCATCCTTAGCGGCTGGAAATGACAGATCTTCTCTCAGTTTGATTGCAGTCATCTCATAACCTCCCCAATAACAGCTGTGTGCGCCACGTCTGTCACTGAGAAAATGATCTCTGTTGTA